ACTTGTGTTTGTTGAGTTGAAGTATAATGCTAAAAGAAAAAAAATAAGAGAAATATTCATGAGATGAAGTGTGCAAGATTGACGTTGATGAACAATGTAGTTCTCACATGATTGTACGCAAAGTTTCAATTTAGTTGAGAAATCATTTGAATGAATCAAGAGGAGTTTTCTTTCATCACACACAACTCCACTTCAATCGAGGCGATTTATTTTAATGTATAAAATCTCTCTATGTTACTGGCCTTAGCGTTAAAACTGATTCTTTTGAATTCCTCGCCTAGGAGAAATTGAATACGAATTGAATGTGTGCGTTGAATACTAGCAGTAAACGAGTTGTAAGGTTTTCCAAACCTGCTGACAACGGCAACTATTTAGCAAATAATGCCAAGCACAGGGAAAATAAGTATGTATGTGCATACATATATTCGTAAGCTCAATTGAGTGGACGAGATGCGTTGTAAATTCAAGTTTCAAATGACGCTGAGGCTGTGCCCACTTTTATTCCCCTTAGAAATAAATAATATAATTGCCACTTCACTAGCAGTAGCAGGAAAAAATGCGCTTCTCAAAGAATTTAGTTCTGTTTATGTGTATAAACTGGTCCAAAGAATTTAATTGATGGGACAACAAAGGAATGTCGCAACTTTATAAAAAGAGAGTAACCTGTGTTGTTGGCTGCTATCATAAAGCAGGAATATGTGCAAAATCGATTATTTTTGTCATCTAATAATAATAACAATTAAAGATATTTCTTAGTATAAATATTTAAATGCAACATATGCATAAATTTAAAAACAAATGTTCATATGATGGAGTCTTGACTTGAAGGATTTTTTCATATTATTCTACCCAGATTTTATTCTACAACTTTAAACCTTGAACTTTTCAGGTCATGAATGTACATATTCGTGCGGGTGGGTGTGTTTTCATGCCCAGTTGACGGAAAATGCTGAAAAATAAATAATAAAGAGACCCTCAGATTAAACTACGCTGTTTGGCACCACATTCGTGATAATGCAAAGGATAGATGCAGAATATTTTATTAAGGCCCTCCATCCTGATGCGACACAGAGAACTTCCTGTTGTACACATTTAAGTCTGTCAGTCCACGAGTAAATGTAAATTTTTATCCTGGTGTGCATCCTCCATAACATCATTTTACTCGTCCAGCCTCGGAGTTCGGACTCATCTTTTCCTACAATGGCAGAGATCACAATTTTAACCAATGACACAAAACTCGTAGACCGAAACATTTTGATCCTCGTCGCTTGCATGCAATGGTTGATGGTTGGGACTCTGAAACCAAGAGGATTTTCCAAAACAAAAAATAAATGAAAAAGTACAACGTTCCAATTAGGCAGGCTACAGTGCCCACCCGTCCACTACCTACTATCATTATGCCATGAGCTCATCTTATTCTAATTCAACATTCACTCCACTCTACATATACGTTAATATGGTTGGCAAATGTTAAACTTTTATTCCAGCCTTTTTTCACCCTTTGAAGTTGAAGTTTTTTTAAATTTTAGAGTAAAGCTAAAAATTTTGCAAGTGTATGTGTGGATGCACAATGAATATGATTGGTTTATTAGTTATTTATTTATTCTAGAATTTCATGTCCAGAATTTTTCTCTTTACAAAGATCTACACTTTAAAGGAATGAATACATTTTGTAAAAGATTACCTTTGTGAAATACAATCCCATTGTTTGAAATCTAAATCGCAGGTAAAGATAAGATTCCAAGTTGATAACCAATGAAACAATGCACCATATAGATTTAGAAGACGTACGTGATTCGTGAAATTCGTGATCTAAACAAACACATAGCTGAACTTTGAGCAAACAACATTCTCGAGAATATATACGAGATTGGATGGACTGTGTATACAATGCATTTCAAGCGAATAAGGAAAAGTTCAATGCATGTCGCATCACTTTTTGTAAATCCAGAAGAAATGTAATCGGCTGAAAGAATTGTTTATTTTGGATTAAACCTTTTATCTATGACTATTGGGCTTGCAGTCGGGACGTTCACTGTTTATGGTGTAGCGAGAATTTATGTTGAAAAACATGGTGGGTTTTAAAGTGGAAGAAGATGAAGCTCTTTTGCCATATGCAGCCATACATACATATTCCACATGCACTTGAAAATATCAAAGTACAGATATTTCTGGAGATAAATTTCACACACACATTAACTTTTCCAAGTATTACAAAGAAACACACATGGATGGACAGGAAAAGCATTGGGGAGAAGAGGGACACCGTCCGGTTAGTTGACACTTTCTTGGCGACTTGAAGAAACATGCCAGAAAAGTTTGTAAATGGGGGAATATCGATGTATTTCTTCAATTTCGTGAGAACACACAACCCAAACTAGCCACTTTTTTTATAGCGACAGTATCAGAAACAACTTGACATGTCGTCTCACTATCTTGTTTCGATTGGATGGGTACGATTTATTAATCAAAATGTCAAGCTAAATAATTTGACTACTACTTCTTGCGACCTAAGGTTAGAAAAGTTGTGTGTAATCTTATGTAAACTACATATTTGCCCAGAGCACTGTTTTTCTGATATGGTTGTCAGCAGATTTCATTACACTCGACGTGTTTGCAAGTATTATGAAGATTAGGGGCGGACAGGAACATAAGTATAAAGAGTTGATAATTTGGTTGACAAGAATAATGTCATCTCCTACAGCATAATCCTGTCGTTGGCGGATAAATACATTCGTACGTACATATTTCATAGCCAAACATAGTCGAAGGTGTTCAAGAAGTGAAATCAACACGTCCAAAACAGATTCTTCAGATTCTTCACTTTTCATTACCAAAGTTCTGGCTTGGCAAATATGTTTGAACCCCTGGATGGAATGTTTTAAGGAGACGCAACAAAAAACATTATGCAAGTCATTCCACTGATGCTGAGGAGCTTCATGTTCATACAGCAGCAGTTTGTCAGAGATACGTAAGATTGGTTGAGACCCTGGAGACGTTGACGGAATTTTTATGGGTGGCATTCTGTAAACGCAATCCAAACATCTTTGCAAATAATTGTCACGTTTGGTTGGCAAAAGTGAACCGGAAATAGAGCTGGAGACATTTTGTGACGCAATGAGCAGTTGCTGTGTAAGTACGAATTGTTAGTCGTCTACATGTGTATGTATGGATGTAAAGCTCCTAATAAGTTCCAGATTTTCTTGCCAGATTGCATTTTATCGTCGTACTTTAAATTGACGAATAAATGAGTAAGCCAAAATCGAATATCCATATTACAGCAGCTGTGAAATCGATAATTGAGCTATATTTACTCACACCAGAATATTTAATCAGAAGGTGACGTGACTTATTTTGCTTAGATAACGATGTCGGGTGCACTTATTCAATTAAATTAATTGTCAAAAAAGATCGTCACTCAAAAACACACTCTGAATGAATAAGATCGCCAGAAATGCATATACTTATGTAGAGTTGTTGTCGAATGGTTTGGATTTCTCAAATGCTCCACTGAAAATCGACTATGATAATACTTCTCCCAGAAACATAAGCTAGGAATAGCTCTACTAAAAAAATTCCTGACCTAAGTGAATCTTAACGTCATACAATATGTAAAGCAGACCATATTCTTCAAATCATGACAGCACGAGTTTTTTACAAGCTTGTTGTGCTCGTGTATTCCTGGCCTGTATAAATTTCGAGATTGTCCTCTACTACAACTCGGGACTTGCCCTTAATCCAATTTCCAGTTGTCGAAAGTCTTGGATGAGGAGAGGATTTGGTCTGGTGCTGCTGGCAATCAATGTTTGGTCGAATATTTAATTTACTACATATGCTTCCATATTTTATAAGATTATGAAGAGACCAAAAGGGCAGGGCCTTTCCTTCCACATAATATTTTGGACGATTCAATGGAAATAAAGCCTGGCAAGTTGCAACCCAACAGGACCGAACAAAGTCTCAATGAGATGAATGAGTTTTAACAAACCCAAACTTCCGTGTCCTCTCCATCATCCCACACTCCTCTCCAACTTTATTTACAATTTACACCAGTTGGCCTGGTCGAACAGAGAAATGGATAAAGTAAACAGGGCTTTCGGCTTCAGTTTTATTGATGTCGAGTGGAAGTAAATGAATGAGGGTTCAATGAATGAAGTCTGTGTGTAAATTTATTTCAAGTATCAGCAGCAGCAATGTAATAAGAGCTTTGAAGGGTCTTCTCTGGACTAGTATGCATGTTCAGTTCATGGTCTGTTTAGGATCCAATTCGCCTACTCCTCCATCAAAGCTACGGCGATAATAATAATGGTTGTTTGGAACTATACATACGCATGCAATTCATTTCATATCCATATGTGAGCAAATTAAATATGTCAATTTCCTGCGTGTAAACTGGTTGGTTTATTACATGACTTCCTTCGACTAGGGCGATATTATACATACGCCATAGGAGTGGGTTGGGAAGGGTTAGGTCGACAGATTGTCATCGTCAACAAAGCTTCTGTTTCAAAATTATAACACCACTAGTTACCAGTCTCAAATCAAAGGATGGTTGGAGTGATTTTTAAGTCCTGGAATAGCATGCTACGATAAAAAACAAAACCATGCTATGTGCATATGTACGTACTCTCTAGTGATCCTCATCTATCTCATCTACCCTGCTGGAACATAACGTAAATGCTTAATTATAGCATCAGGGCGATTGTAAGAGACGATTGGTGTGGGTGTAAAAAGTAAAAAGGGTGACGATGTATGCAACATGCACTTTTCGATCCTGCTGCTTCCCAACTGCTACCATTTCCATCCAGTCATTTAACAAATCTTTCTCAACCAAAGCTCCATCGTTCAGTTGTTGTAAAGCCCAATAATAACATCCTCGTACAAGACTATACTATGCATGAGGAGAGTTTTTGGTAGTAGTGCAACATGTGCATGCCACGATGAGATCTATCTGATGCACAGTTGTAAGTAAATAGTAAAGGAGTTGTTTTGTGGGTCTCGTCATCATCACTTGGTCATGTTGCAAGGTTTGTAATCTGGCCATGCACCATGCTTAGTTTGCTCTTGAGAGTTACAGAAGAAACATCACCGTGTTCTTCATCTCGAGAGTTTGGTTTAACTCTTGACAGTTTTAGCAGTTCCATGCATTCATTCGTTGTACGGAGATTACATGAGATTCTTTGAGTTAACGTGATTTTATGTAGAAGTGAAGTTTGAACGAGCTCATTACTACTTCCGCCGATAGAATAAGATTCCGCAATCGGATTTCATTTTCACTTGAAATTGTCTCATTTTAGTGCGTCTCTTCGTTTCATGGTTGCGTTTGTTTGCTTAATTCTCTTGTGTTTTTCACTAGTGATTATCCAATCTTAGCATTGAGGTAACGGAAAAAATTGGTGAAATACGATGCGAAAACTCATTTGGAGCCTATTGTGTGTGCTGATTACTCCAGTGTTGAAATTGTAATTTTTCAGTTTGTGAATAATATTGAAACAATCACGATCGTGTATCTGATACGTCTTGAAAATGATTACAATGACCGCGGCCTTAAGAGACAAAATCCGCCGTCGATTGGTGATATCTGCAGAGAACCATTATGTAAATGTACCTAAAATGTTGCTGTCGGAGGTAGAAGAGACCGAATTAGAATTCGAACGGCTCCGACTAATTAAAGCAGACTCGACCTCATCCTCCTCATCCTCTGGAACTGCCAAAGGCTTCTCCGACACGGATTCAGGAATAAGCAACACAGCTTCTTCCAGTTGCGAGTCCTTCCAGTCGGATCACTACTTACCAGATCCAGCTCGTGACGTTGTTTACGGTGATGCCTTCAGCCCATCCACCACTCTTTTACCGTTTGATCCAGAGGAGGATGATTTTGACATCAAGTTGAACCGCAGTTTGGCCAACTTGGGTATCGGCATTGGGCGATCGAGTAGTTGCACAAGTGGTGGCAGTGATGATAACGTACCAGCAGTGATCTTTTCCTCTCCACTTCTGAACACTGGCGGTGGAGACGAGGAAGGGGATTATTATGACAATGTTGGAATTGGGGACTATTCAAACCTTGATATTAACTTGGATGAGATTGGTGTGGATTTTGACATAGTTGAGCCTCCACCAGCGTTCGCTGAAACGGCCCCGAATAATGAAATGCGTCAACTTGTTGTTGATTCCAAGGCTGAATTAGTGGATGAGTATTTCAATGAAAATTACGACAGCGGGGATCCACCCGATCGTGATTCAAATGAGAATGAGGATAATTATGTTGGATCCATGGAGGATCTTGAAGGGGTTTTAGAAAATTTAATTGAAAATAATGCAGGGTCAGAGGGGTCTAATCCCACCACCATCACTAATCACGCATTTCCCATGCCCACTTCTACCACCGCATCGGAAATTGGGGCTAAGCAGGAGAATACCGAGACCGTTGCTGCCTCTGCGAGTAGCAATAGCCCAGCTAGAAATCTGAAACCAAAAAAGAAGCAAAAACGAAAGAGAGAACGTTACGAGATCAGAATAGGTTATCCGTGCTACGATCTAGAGCTTGAAGACAAGAATATCGTCATTTACTCTTTGCAGAAAAACAGAGACTCAATGGAGGACTTACTTGGACACAGCAAGTTGAAAAACAGTAAGTGCTAAATTTTTCCTAGAATTTTTACATATATTATGTTGTTGCTGTTGAACAAAGTTGTCATCTGTGTGCCATATTACACATGAAAAGTTGTCTCGTAAATTATCGACTCATTGTTCATGACCTGTTTGCCCTAAACACTATGGTGTTGGGCCGACACAGCTACACAGACTCTCGCTCTCGACTCACACAGAAAATCAACTAAACATTTAGTCATTGTCACAAACTAAGCGAATTTGAATATTAATTAACCTTACTTTAAATATTTAATTTCGGTAAAACGTGACCATATTAAATTATTCATGAAAAATATTGTATTGATGATGGTTCATCTGAACCTTGCCAATTGCACAGATATGTAAATAGGAAGCATATTCAAATTTGTAGTGTCAATACTTTTAGGTTATTCACGTCAACACAGTAATAACCGATTCGATTTGCTGCAATTTTTATGCTTGCCATGTTTTAAAGCGAATCTCAACGATAACGAATACTGAAAGGCAGACAGTATATATTGTGTCGATCCGCATATGCCAACATATAGGTCGGCTTGGTTAGTTGGCAAAAAGGCAATTTTCTTCTCATATTCCCAATTTATTCAGCCGTTACAAAATTGAGCATCAAAATACAATATACTTAAATAAGGGATCAAATTTCAAGCCCGTCGTTGAGGCAAGAGGAATTAAGCAGCAGTGGCGTAGGCGTAAATGATAACAGGAAATGAATATAAGCCCTTCTTCCCTCTACGACTTGTTTAAATATTTGAGACAGGCAGGACTGATAGATAACGCAGTGGCCATTCGTCAATATGATACCAACAAGTATCGTATGTGCCTTCTACGGACTGGGATAGGAAAGCAGTTTTATTATTTGTATGTTATCCCCACTTTATTATTGAATATTTGCGATTGTGGACGACGTTCAATTTATGAGACACACACTCTTTAGAATCATTCAGACACACTCTCTTAAGGATCATCTCAATGAGAAAAATAAATATTATTAATTTAATCATCATTGCTTTCATCATTCTATTGCCCAATTTTATGTTATAAAAATAACCCGGATTTTATTTCATCTCTAGAAAAACATGAAAAGTTTTTAAAAATTGTGCCTACTTACTTTTTACTTATCTCTCAAGGAGAAAGTGCTGTTATGAGTACTGAGCCGAGTTCAAAGAGCGTTTATTGACAATAACGTCTAGCATAAGTGTGTATGATGGGCTTGGGCAGTTTCTGAGAATATTTCTTTTTCTATAAAACCACTTTCACCTCAGTCTTTCTGTCCTTGCTTTCAAGTTTTCTTTGGAACGCACTTGTCGAAATAAGATAGGCTTCATAGCCACAAAAACAACATTGATGGCGCTGGTCCTACTAAATTTGGAATGGTTATTACAATTTCCTCCTCTGCGTCCTTTTAGAAGAAACCAGCTCATATTCTTTGCAAATATTGTTCAATATAGAGCCCAAGTAGGCAATTCTCCAGTTTCTCCTTTGCTTCATCGTCGTCGAGTGGGTTCGCATTTTCAGTGGAGGCGGAAGAAAAAGAATGAGAAAAGGAAGAAAGCAAACGCGATGCAGATTCAATTGAAAGCAAAAGAGTAAAAAGGGACTTACGGAAGAAGTTGAGGAAAAAGTTAGACAAGAACGAGAGCTTGCTTGATGGTAAATATCGATCCTCGGCTTTCTTCCCTTTCTCTTTGCTGCTACCCGTGGTTCTTCCTTCCTACTTGTAATGTATTGTGAAACATAGTTAACCAAACAATTTAAACTGCACGACCATGGTCTAGCTTAGGACGATCCCAAGAATTACTTTACATCCGTGAAAAGTATATCGCCATGTGCCCACAAACAAAGCTACTCCTCATCTTGGTCTGGAATGATTTGCTTCCCTGTCTTTCCATGCATTCGAAAATTGAGACTGACATGAACATATCTTGACATCACCACCGCTTTTTGAATAACAACAGGAAGAAAATGACATTTCCTGTTGAGGCCAAATCAGATAGCAAACAAGAGTCTTGTGTGAAATGAAGCAAGAACAACCAAACTACATACAAACTTTAAAATTTCAAGTTTAAACGCCTCAGAAGTTTCTCAAAATTTAAAGTCAAACTTAAATACAACTTGATCTAAAGTAGTGAGGAGTGAAGTGCCCTGCTGTTACATATTTGCGTAAATTATCTCGCTATTACCTCACTATTTGATGAACTAAAACATTAATTGTTTCACTTAACCCCAGTTTTGATTAGGTTTCACTTTACGTCTCATCTGTAGTCCCTGTTAATATGTAACCGTGTCCTATGTTTTCCCACCTATTCATTATGTTTTTACATTCAGCCCGTCAATACGAAGTATTCCTTTTTTCTGTTCTACGATACTGATACCAACTAATGATTACGTTCTAAAACTCAATTGCACATATTTGCAAATCAACAGTTGTGTTGATAGAGCAATTTCTCACTTCAATACAGAAGTGATAATCATTGAATAATAGCATTCTAAGTAATTGGAGCCCACCTTTCACCATATACGATGTTGATAAGCATCATTAAAACTCAAGTCGCTTTTCTGTGAAGGAAAAATTCGAAACGAAGATATTATTTCAAATCCATCAGTAAGTACACGCTACAACAAGTTGTTCACAACAATCACGATTAAGTGGAAGGACGAAGGAACACCATTTTATCGCTTGGGGTCCTTTGCTATAACGAAAGCGTCAAGCAATATGAAAATGGAAGTACAAACGCCAATGCACAAGCGTTCCGCAACTTAAGTACATGGATACTAAAAGTCAAGCAATTGTGGAGAAACGCCGCTTTTGGTTATTTTGTTACTAGTACGCCGCATAGGACAGATATTGACTACTACATCGTATTATTATTATAACACATCCTGCTACATGTCCAGCCATCACTCCTCGACGTATGTAGGGACAGCAAAGAGTTGCGCTTTTTAACTTGATTGATTGATGCCTTTGTGTCTGACAGGGAGCATATGGCCATTCCAGCGGTATGCATAGAAAATTCATCGAAAAAATAATTCACATAATACATAGAGCATCATCGTTGAAGCTTCCAGTGGAGCCAGCCTAATCCAATGTGTAGGAATAGGAGATGGCCCCTATGGAAGCTTCAACGGTATGGTTTAAACGTACTACATTAGTTTTAAAGTAAAAACACGCAAGTTCAAAAAACATGCGGATGAGTAACAAAACATGATGATTTGACAGTCAATTGTGAGTAGAAAATTGTGCTGGGCTGCTGCTGAAGAGAAAAGTGCTTGTATTTAAGAATTTAACCGTAAAGTTAATCTGTACAATTTGTACTGGAAAGTTGGTTGGCTGGATGAACGCAGTGTGCGACATGTCCTATTTTTTCTTCCTCGTCTCGTGCTGCGTCGTGAACTTTCAAACTTTGATTACTCTCACTTAACGCGTTTCTACAACCAAGGCTTCTCTTCAATCTGGAAATAAAGTGAACCAATCATGTCACTAAAACTCGAGTTCCGTCGTAGTAAGTTTAACTATCCTTGCTTTGTATCCTCTTATTTATTTTAATTATCTAATCGCTTCTGCTTGGTGAACAGAAGCGTTCAAAACTTGAGTCTCGCAATGATGTGTCATGTTATTAAAGTATCACCGACAATTTCATGATAATACTCGAGTGGGGAATCCAAGCATGACTTTACGACTGCACCCCTTTTATTTCTTGGACATGGAAATTATACACGTGTTCTCTCTCACGTCGTGACAAAATGGTCCAGGAAAGAGGTTCGTTATAATCCAGTGCAAAGGTACAAATTATCTCGTGAATGATCGCATAGTAGCAATTTATATTTATCAATTGAACTTTGTGAAAATTTCAGTAGGTTATTCCGCATAGGAGATTCTTTAGAGTTTAGTCATTATCACCAATACAGTCTCTTGATAAAGTGAGACAAAGCCAACAAGACGATGATACTTGTCTCCTCTACTTTTACGTCAATTGTCAACACTCATTGAGATCTTGTGTTAAGTTCATTTAAAAACAGTAGCATGCGTCGTTCCAATGTCTAGCCCAATGGCAGGGATCGCTTTTTATGTACCAGCCGAGCAGCAGACAGAATAGTTGACAAAAGAATGGGATGGAAACATCCGAGCAAAAAAAGACATGTCATTTGGCGAAACAAGGCTCAGGCTCCTCAATTCAATTAGATGAGACATAACTGTGGATCCAAGGAACGAAAGAACAATAAATGAACGTACACTGGAGCAATTTGCCATGTTAAAGTTCGTGTTCTGTATTTTTTCCTACTTTTGTTGGAGCAATACGTGCGATGGCTTTGCCGAAGTTTCCACTGTGAGCAGGCTGCAGGGTCGTCCTCTGGATTCGTAATTTCCTTCTATCCATGTATCATAATCTCTTATCGGGTATTTTTCTTCATTCACTCTTTGTCATCAACCAACTTTGTTGTAGTGTAAAAAAGAAATAGGCGAAAATCATAAACACAAACACCATATGTTGGCGAGAAGTTTATTTTTCCCCCGTTTGTTTTAGTTTTTGATAAACCAAAACATAACACACACACATCTAAGACTTGGTTTAATTAGCAACGGAACATATACTTGCACTTCTCTCAGTTATATATGTCATTTCAATAAAAACAGTACTTACATTTCATTCTCAGGCCAATGCAAAAGTAAATATCTTTAAAATTAAAATTGCAATATTTGTACTGTGTAAGGATTTGATTGGCAAAAATTGTAACATGCGAAACTACGAGATCAATATCAGTAGAATATGGAAGGATTTCGTACTCTTGTTATTTTTTACTCTCTGTTTGACAAAAAAAGTCGTTCAATTGGCCCATTTAGTTTTCATTGCTTTATATCACGATTTTGTAATTGAGTAAATTACGCTACACGTTCATTATTCAACGTCTCCCTAAAGTGCTCTAGTTGATATGTAGTTATCAATTTGAGCTGCATTGTAGTATTCATTACACGACACTAATTAGTATTTCCATTTGGACTCAAGTTTGGAGATATATGTATGTACACATGCTGAGACTAAATCAGAAATCTAATCTACCGTATATATTATTAAATCAGGAAAGTGTTGCAAATGTTCCCTTTCATTGAAGTAACTTTCTAGTCTTTTGGTGGTAACTAAATTATCCAGCACAATAAATATGCATAGTACAATTGACAGAGAGATAACAGAGTTTACTTAAATAATGATTATTTTTTAAAGTATAATCTGTACAAGGAAATGCCTACACAAAATTAGTATTCACAATTCTTAATGAGTGCAACGACAATTTCAATATGTCGTAAGCATGGCACGAATAGTGGGATGCCTCATTGAAATAAATCTATCCATCTAACGCACCGAAATAGAATACTGCAATTATAGCTTAACTCTAAACATACTCCACCTCCACGATTGAATACATTTGAAATAAAAGCTTTTCTTTGATACTACGTGTTACTTGGGCAAACGAAAACAAAAGTATCGACACCTTTATCCAGACCTAGTTCTCATGGAATACAGGGATTCTAGATGTATGCATGTTTTTGAAGTCCTTTGTTTGGAGTGGTCAGCACTGAACCATGTGAATAGAAACCTGCTTCCAGCAGATGGTTGGCATGTCTTTAGTTGATTTAAAAGTCTTTATGCTATTTTTGGATGCTACTACATATTTATTAGTCTCCGTATTATTTTACCCGAGTTTCATTCTAATTTTTTACTTGATATAACCCAATAATTAATTCCAATTGTTCCTACATTCAAGAAATGAGGGTTAACATTCATTGAGAAAAATAATCAAAAGAACAATTGTGCATTTTATGAACTGCATCTTCAAATAAACTCGTTAAATGGTTCAAATCTGACTGTCTATTTAATCCAGAGTATCTGCAGCTCGGGCTGAAATATATGTGCCAAGAAGCTGAGACTTTATGTCCCACTCAGATTTCTTCCTTCATTGAATAAGAAGCGTAGTAAATCCAATTAAACTAAGTGAATGAATAGCCTATTATGGATAAACTCGCTCTTTCTTGTCAAAATATCTAGTTGCGAGTCTTTGCAGAATAGAAAAAGTAGTTCATGTGAGTCTCAAGAAAAGGAGACCTGTGGATCTGGATGGAATCTGGATGGATCAGTTAAATGCAGGCATCGTTACCGATATCGAGTTGCTCCCACGGTGGTTAGAAAGAGTTCAACCTAAAATCAACGGGATTCACTCGACCAGGTTCCCCATCAGATCACATGTACATACGCACATATTTCTGTATGAGCAGCCTACATATGTGTCTTTATGAATGCCTCATTACGTATGCAGTGGTACAATAACCAGACTATAAGCACATCACAAATCTTATGATCAATCAGACGTAAAAACCACAAAGTTGAACCAAATATGCAGTATTGAAACCACTAATTTAATTTTGTCAATTTAGAGTTATTCGCATCGCTGACTGAGAGGACACTTCAATTCGAGATCTTCTCTCAACTCAAGATACTGAAGGATGCATACATTAAACATGAGTTAATTTCTGTTGCAGTCATCAAGTAAAGTTTTAAGAGGAGTTTCTTGTGTATTCTCTTTTGATCGACACTCTCTTTCTGTCTGCGGTAGGTGGCTTTCAACTGTAAGCCAAACTATTTTCAAAAGCAGCAAATTGAATGTAAACAACATTCAACAAGCAAAGTTGAGAAATGCAAAGTCCTTAAAGATGAGATGTTTTAAAATTCTAGACATTCTTAATTGCTGGTCTTACTTCGGTTGATCATCTCAGCAAAATACTTCATAAGCATTGCATAAATCTTTAAAAACTTTTTATTCATTACACTTTGAAACTTTCCGTTTATTACGGCACGACGACGTACAATGGGCGATTCTCAGCTTAGTCACTAATGGCACCATTACGGAACGTGTCTTGCATGAAAAGTGTGAAATGTATGTAATATTAAATTTGCAACGTTAAAAGTTTCTAGACGTAAATACTTGGTTTTCTCAAGATGTTATATTATGACGAAATCATTTTAAAAATTAAAGATGGTTTTTCGAATTTCTTTGTGAAAGCGTTTCTTATTTCGCGCTATGTTTATGTCATTGTTTTAAGTATATTTTACTTTGAAATTTCAGGTTTCGATTCTCACAGAAGCAGAAGCCATACGAATATGAAAAATCTGCAGGATCCAAGTAAACCACAAAAGCCTGACGAACCCAATCCATGCCTCCCAATCACAACCGTAAGTTTTCAATTGGTCGTTGCCGGTGCATCGCACTTCATGCATTTGTTTACTTATTGAACGCTTATCAGTCAAAGGATGTGGAAAGTTAACTGAAATCCCTTGTGTACAATCACAATGATGCAGACTGCGGTTCTTCACTAATGAAACTATTATTATTCTAGTAGTGGATGATTTAATGTCGAGATCGCGTAGGTAAAAAGTGCATACAGATAGCTCAATGAAACCCACAAAAATATTTTGCTTATAGAAATGTTTGATTTTTAATCTGAAAACTAATGCTTAACTCTGATTAAAACGAAAATGACTTGATCGACAATTAATCAGTGCAGCAATTAATTCCAGAAGGCCAAGTTATCTAAATATGTAACATATTTAAATTTTTAGGATATTTGCACCCAGTCCAAATACAATCGCGTGTAATTGATGCATATTACAATTTTTGCACAACAGACAATACTTTTAAATGTTTACAACTGATAACGACGATCATCATCCGGTGCCAGTTCCGAATTCAAGAGTTGGCCACACATATTTTATGCCAAGGATTGCCAAGGCTGAATCATTAAGTAAATAAACCAACCTGCCAGAAGGGAATTTTATTATTTGCTAACCATCATTGTTGTCTAAGTTGTCTCATAGAAGTTGATGTGTCGCTGAACACTTTGTATTCATAACCACAACCTTTGACGTAACACATGAGCCTGCACTGCACAACAATAATCTACTTGCTTATGAGGCGTTGCATCGAATCAGGAATTCCATTCTTGTGAAATGGAGTCTCGTACATAATTGATTACATGTGGGCTCATTTGAACCATGCATGTTGAAGATGTCGAGCTCTGAAATGGCGAAATTTACTTTATCTTATTTTTCAACTAGATGGACTCCGATGGGGCCAAAGCAGGTCGTGTGCTGAGAACCTTAATTTTGACCAGATCTCCAGGTTTAGTGCGAGATAGGAGACAACAGTCTAGGACATTCCGTCGATGTCTTGTCGGGGTAAGCTGCTCAATAATACAAATCATAATATAAGCATCAAACTACACCCTCCAATAATTATTCCCAACAGGCAGAGATGGTGGACTGGCTTTTAGGTGAGTATAATAATGAATATAGTACAATTTGTCGGGAAAAAAGACTCCATAAAACCAAACCCTGTAATGCAATTCCATCGTTTTTTAGCAATAGGGAGTGCGTCCGGGATAGTCAGATCGCGACACCAAGCCACAGGAATGTGGCAATCTTTACTGGAACAAGGAGTTATTCAACATGGTATAGCTTTTGTTCAAGTTCTCACATTTTAATGCTAACGTACAGGTTACTCGGACTGGTGCATATTTTAGTGGCGGTATCAAGTGTCCGGTGGAAATAACAAAACTGCTGTTGAATTTCGAATGCTAAACAATTTGTTATATTTGGAACTCTAATTTGAAACAAGGATTACAAAACTATGATGGAAATTTTTTCTTCTAACTATAAATATATTTCCACACTAAATAATGATGCTTAGGTGTGTGCATATTGTAAGAATTGGCAATGTTGCAGACCAGTAAGTAGAGGAATATTTTCAAAAATGCGAATGTCAGCGTCCGAACTCCTTCTTACTCTTATTATTTCTCCTACAATGGAAAGTGTGAACCATGTGCATACATATGTAACCTTCCATTCGTGAAGCACATAAGCATGATAATTCTTTTTTACCTTGTGTTACAAGAAATGAGCCATACGCAGATTCTCCGTGACGTTCAGCCAGTCTTAATGACTAGGTTTGCACTTGTAATTCATGTATCGAAAGTGTCAATGGTTTGAACCCTGATAAACAACAAGTTTGATAAATATCACATTCTTGTTATTTATCTAAATGATTCATTTGGACCATCTCATTTCAGTTGGCATTATATTCAAGTGCAAATTCATGACCAAAACCAAAAATGCATTTTTAATAGTCAACTCCTGCACTCGGTTGCATTGTTGGCATTGTTGCATGACATTCACTATGTTCAATAACTTTGTGTGGTTACCAGTGGTTTTTTTTCTTGCAACGGTAGTAGTACATAACTTACTACGATTGCAGGAAAAATTCAAGGACGCAGTAATTGGTTTGCACATGATTACCCCATGAATCACGGACATAGATACAGATGAGTAAAGCAAAAAAACTTTACGACATTAAAGTGGATGCGTGATTCATTTCATTTCCGTCTCCATCCGTTCCAATTTCCAAGGAGCATACTAATATTCCAACACAAACATGTGTATTTACTTCACTTGCAAAATTACGGTATGCATAATAATTTAATGCCGAATTATTAAGTCGCGTTGTTTCTGCTCTTTAGCAGTAATAGTTATCTCGTAATCGTTTTGCCAATGTTTAACGACCAGTTACGAAAATAAAAGGATGTATGCACAATAATGAACATGCGCTCACTGCTTCTGTCCTGATGTTGCAGAAGCAGAGAACCTTGGGCGGTGTCTCGCTCTCAATTAGCAGGGTCTTTACATACATGCTCGATTAATTTTACTTTGACTCATGCTATGAAATTTCAAATTATTATTTAGTGGAGATCTCCAGAGCAGCTTAACAGGGGCTGAGATATCAGATCAGAAATCTCTATAATGAACGAACGGCATACAAGCGTCATGATTGGGCGTTGTCAGGCTCAAGATCAAATGATACATATATCATTGTCTCCTTCATCTCCTGCTCTTAAAGACCTCGACAGCAAAAGTGCTTTATGGAAATGCTCAACCAGGATTCTAGAGCTGACTTTTATCGATAAGCATATCCTTGACTGGACTGATTGATTGTTTGCATTGATAATGTCCAGTTAGTAAAAACTGCCTTAGCTAAATGCTAAAGTCAATCGCAAACATCCCCAACTGATCAAAAAGCAAAATGTTAAAAAAATAAGAAAAAATAAAGCTGATAAACCCAGTAGCCAATTTAAATAAATGTGCACAGCAATGCATTACTCGTGCTTATGGTATGAAAAAACACTATAGATTTCACGTCTTCATAAGCGAATTGCATTTGCAGTCATTATTGCAAGGATTTTGTAGCCATATTAAACTACTTAATGATAAAGCTACCAATACCAATAGTTCATGTATAAGTGCAGGATAAATTCTAGCCTGCAGCTAGCGATTAACTTTCAACGATCAACTTTATTTTGACAAAGGTTGCGTTAGGTTAGAATGTAATCAAGTCAGCATCTACAAACAATTTACGTTAATGGAATTCTTCATAAAAAAGATTTATCGCATAAAAATCTCTTCGTAGTAGACTGAAATTTGAAACTTTGTTGTTCAAGAATATATTTATAATCAACAGTTAAGCTCACGTTTTAGGAATTCCGAGAACCCGTTTTTATCATTCAATGGTGAAATGTGAGACTGTTCAAAGTATTTGCTAACTACAGAAGTTGATTGAAATTCGACTACAAGCGTATATTATTCAGATGTCAAAAATGACAACCGGTTGTACATACTAGGAATAGTTTTTTGATGCTACCGGTCGTTCTTACATATAGAACATTTTAAAGAAAGACAATGAATTGTAAAATCCAAACGTTTTTGGCTTGATTTGAATACATATAAAGTTCTTCAGTGAGAAAGGATTTGCAATTTAAACCCATTCATTTCCCTCGTCATATTTATGTGTATCTGCTACAGTTGGAAGTATGTGGATGATGAATTATCATTTATAACAGTTAAACCAAGATTGTAACAAGTTATATGATGGCAGAGTATTTACATGCATGCATGTAATGAATGTTGTTCCGGCTACCTTTGTGCTAGCTGCATACATGAAAATGAATGTGTGTATATGTAAGTGCAAGTCCTTGGTGTGTGTCAGGATGAGAAGAACAGGATCTTCCCGATGCGTTTACTTTTAATTGTGCTTTTGTCTACCTTATCCCAGAATCAATTCAGAATTTGCATACCTTGCCAAACTCACTCCTGCCCTGGAACAAGTTGAACTTTTAGAATTCACAGTTTCACCTCTCTCTCCCTCTCTCTCTCTCACGCCATGGCTCTTCGAAACAGCGAAAAAACAAGATCAATTACGCCACCAGTTGTGACGATGTATTTATTGGTAGCCATCAATGTGATTAGATCTGGTTGGAACTTTCAACGAGAAATACTAACACAGCATCAGTAATGCAGTCATCGTCATTTTCTGCTAGTCTACGGTTTATCGGATTTCTGTAGCAGGAAAATTGCCAAAGTTGAAACTTTTTCACATCATTCTCCAATTCATTAGGAACTTCTCTGTTGACTTTACAACTTTTAAGCGATGACGAGCAAGTGAACTTTTTATCAGTCTGAATTATTACAAAATTGGTTTATGGTTGGCAAAATTTTAGACTGCATTTCAAAATTTATACTTCAAGCAACCTCATGCATGCTCTATACCGAATTGCGTGTTCACATGTCGTATATACATATTTACACTCTGCACCACCTGTAAATTTGATCTGGTAATAAAAACTGGGATGTCAAGCAAAATTACTTCCCTAAAGCATTCCTCACGAGTCAGATTTCTTGTTTTTGCACTGACTGAGCTAAATATTTAAAAGAGTCATTAGATTAAGAGTATATTGTTTTGGGCCCTCCTAATGTGTTGTAGCTCATTTGGAAATTGGGCCAATTTCGTATCTTTTAATGTGAGAAATTTAAACATGTTGCCGTAAGCAGTCACAATCACAACAAAACTATTCAAGTTTTAAACCGATGGATGACAATGCAAGCGCATAGTAGACAACTAGACAACGCCTTAATTAGTAATATATTGATCGATTACTGCCCCATGGATGTGCGTTGGATGAACTGTAGCATTTCAAATGATGGCATGATTTGCACATGTCAGCCGATAAGTTTGAGAAACCATCCTATTCATATTACAAGAGATCTGCATGTATGACATGACCTATCCACAGGATACTTTTGTCGACGTTATATATCTGCGACTATTATGACTAGGAAGAGCTATCAAACTGTCTCCCCTAAAGCATGCCGTACAGATGTAATTACATTCCATTTATGACACTCAATCGTAGCACAGTGGAATTTCTTTTTATTTATTTATCTCAGTCAACGTAACCAGTCACGAAAGTTTAACTAGATCACTTTGACCAAGATATTTAGCAATTTTGCTGATCACTTAAATTTCTTCAATGTTGATTTAAGCTCTCATGAGTCGTATCAATCATTGCGAGAGAAGTTGAGATAATTGCGATCAAAAGCACATGAGCTACATTATGTTATTGCCATTATTAAAGCATAAGTAGTCCTATATATGTTAATTAATATACTCGACACTCGGGCTTTCTGATGTGCTCATGACAGGCATATGCATACATATGTAGGTACGTAGTTATTTTCCGCTCGTAGCTTGTAAAATTATGACTTTAATTACTGCATTTATTAATACATATGACCCAATGAATATGCAATGATACGTAAAATAACGTATGTTTGCATGTTCTTGAAGATTTGAAGAATTGCATGCCATTAAATTATTGTAACAGTTAAAAGCACTAGAGCATATATCAAACCAAATTTTTTCGTCATTTATGTGTTCTCAACGCTGCAGCATTTCTTATTCCTTTTTACTGCCTGCTCAAAAATCATCAGTACCACCACGAGGGAGTCAAATGATGATGAGCCATGATTTTCAAGAGAATGAGTCATTATTGTTGAATACAATCGCTGCATAGGAAAAAATGATTGAGCGAATATATGTTTGCGATGATAATTAAAATAATTAACAGAAATTTTAAAGTTTCGAGTATTAGAAAAATTATTAATAAAATAATTTGGTTCGTGTTTCGATTTTCAGTTACCCTTGAGCACCCATTTCGAGACAAGTATATTTTCTACCGTTTTACCATTGATGCAGAAAGTGAACTCCAAAGCCGCTCATGGTATAAATTTTAAACTTGAAAATGCTTGTGCTATAGACCAATTTCATCAGCTAATATTTATCGCTACTATTTTAATTGATAAGAGGCGAGATATGCCAATTAATCATTATGTTCAGGTCGAGAGGTCTTCCCAGTCCTGAAGATGAGAGGGAAGCCGACACAAAACTCTCGGAAGTGTTGGCATTCTTGGCACAAAAAGGTACAATATATTCACTGAAATTGCAAACTTGGTTGATGCCTCTGTAAAAAATGAAATCCAAGGGGAGCTTGTATCACAAGAATAAATATGTATGATTCGAAAATGCGTTTTTAGCCCCTGATGCAATTATGCGCCTTATTTTGAGGAAACCTTCTTATGAGAGAACAACGGATGACTTGGAGATGATTTATGACGAACTGCTTCACATAAAGGCTTTAGGTAATTGTATAATTATTAGAATTCTATAGTTCTATTCTGTAATTCATATCACGCTAACATCACCAAACATCAATAACAAAGACTCTTCTTAGATTTTTGATGACTCTACGCTACTAATTTTACTCTACTAATTTTTACCAGTAATGAGGAAAGGCTGAGAATCTTTGTTTTAAAAGTACATAAATCGTAGATTGTATTTAAATCAATATAATTGAAATATATGAATGTTTGGGGATTTAATTTTTAAAACAAAGTAAAGAAAAATATTAATCTATTTTTTGCTATATTTTAGCTCATCTCTCCAACTCTGTAAGTTTCAAGCAAAATATTTATAAAATATGAAATATAAAATATCAAAGCTTTAAACGAGAACTTTGTTAATTCAAGGTGAAACGTGAGCTGGCCGGGGTTATCGTGTTTGAAGCTCATCCATCCAACGGCACTGTGTGTAAGTACTTTTTTTTACACGTACTTACATGATGAACTAGGCGAATGTATGTACATGTATCGTACATATGTACATCTACATTTAACTCATGGGAAGAAAATATGTCCATTCCTAATTTTTAACAGCTTTTAGTAAAAGCTAAAAATATTTCAAGGTGCTATACTTTAGGTATTATTGAATTACGTGTGTACATTTGGCAGCCCATGTACAGATACATACACCAACTAGAATTTACATGGCCAAGTAATCGGGTGACGACGTCATTCAGAACGTAATAATATATTGTGTAATGAAGATCCTTGTTTCCAAAAGACAATTAAAACCTATTTTGAATTCTGTCAAAACAGAGCATCCTCCGTTCTTCTTGTCAAGTCGTCTATCCACAAACCGAATTAATTTCCATCGTTTAGCACAATACTATTACATATCTGGCTCTACAAGGCCTGTCTTTGATGCGTTTCTGCTCTAACAAACCCTTTGTTGCCAGAGCTAATTATCTGTAAATGATATTTAGATTTTGAGGAGTTGAGTTCGCGATACTCTTGTTTTTGCATCATCTAATGACTTGGTTGTTGTGTTTAATTACAGTATTTCATCAAGGAGACGAGGGAAAGAGCTGGTATATTATACTCAAAGGCTCCGTCAATGTTGTAATTCGGGGAAAGGTACGTAGATGATGCACTAGAAGAATAGAATTGTTTGGGACCAAGTCGGCATAATCTACAATAACCGACTATTTTATTATCAAGGGCACTGTGTGTTCACTCTACGAAGGAGACGACTTTGGAAAACTCGCCCTCGTTAATGATGCGCCAAGGTGAGGAATAACTTGTCTTTCACCAGTTTCCGCATTTTACTTTTCCTTTGATTGCACGAGAAATGTCGTCAAGGTCAATCTTTTGTGCAATTTTCTATGAGATTCGAACAGCGATTTCGTTGGTCCAACGTAGACAATACTGCTGTAATGTCACATCAGTCGGCATTATTCAGTGGCTTCATAATTTTCAAACACCTGAACAACTCCAAAATATATAATAACTTGTTTCTATTGTTCAATGAGAATTCTTTGTGCTGTTCAGGCAAGAAATAGCTTGCGTATGTATTGCAACTGCTGCGAAGTTTGAAAACAGCAATTAGTTACTTTTGTGATTTATTTGAAAACTTTTGTCGCATTTATGTGTATTCTACTGGTTTGCTTAAGCATGTACATAGAATAATATTCTAAATCGCAGCTCGGAGAAAGATGCCATGCAAAAGTTTATTGATTCGACCGAAAAGTTTCTGTATAGGATTTTTTAGCTTTATTAGAATGAAGAATAAATACTTCTGACGAAAGTGTTTACGAATTTTGTGTTTTTACTGGGAGGTCACCACCAGCATCAAACTTTTAAACTGTACATCAACAAAGTTCGTCAATAAAATATATTTCGAAGTTCAAAGAACGACATACTTTTCAATAGAAACGTCAATTACTATTTGCTTTAGTGGTAGTTTTATCGTGGGCGTCGAATGAATTTTATTTAGTTTCTCTTCAACTCTTGACAGAAGAAAAAGAAATAAGTTTCCGAATTTTTCAAAGCAAACAAAAAATCAGGCAATATTCTTCGTTGAACGCGTTGGACCTTTGAGTTGGCCATATCCAGCAATAAGCAGTCGAATATAGATATGTATGTACGTATGGAATTTCTATGCATGATGGGATGGAAAGAGTAAAACGACTACAATATGTTTGTTTTACGAGAACCTACTTTCCTCCATCGGATATGGAGAGCGTTATGTTCTTTGTGTGGTGACAAACAAAGCCTTTCACATTTTCTCTGCCCCGTGTTCATTTCCGAAATGAGAAATGAGAGCTTATTTGGCCGTATGTGTAACGGAAGGTTAAGCACGAGTCGTAAATTTAAAGTGGGGTTTCCACATCATTGTGATTCCTTTCACAGGGCTGCTACGATTGTGCTGAGAGAAGATAGCTGCCACTTTCTCCGCGTGGACAAGGCAAGTTTATATCTTGTGTCAATTTCACGCTGATGCTGCTCGTAATTTTCTCTCTATAGACGTTTTTAAATCCTTTAAAATTACTAACTTGCAGGATGACTTTAATCGAATTTTGAGGGACGTTGAAGCCAACACGGTTCGGTTAAAGGAGCACGGACAAGATGTTCTCGTTCTCGAAAAAATCTCTGCAAACAATGCCAACCCCTACTCACACTTCAAGTAAGTGTCGTATTTATGTAATGGCCAGTAGATATTTTGTTTACCATGTAACACATCAGGTTTAAGGATTTTAGTGACAACTATTATTAGTAGTAAATAAGTACTTTGCTTGAACAATAAATTTTCATATACTGATACTTAACACATTCTCGGAATAGTTTCCTATTAACAGAATTAACGAAGTTCGTGCCTCTATGTCGTCGTTTTTTTTCAATCAGTAAATTGCCAGATAAATCTCTGTAGGAAGTTTAAATATTTGAGCTTATATTGATTAGAAAAGTATGATAATTAAGAATGGTAACAATGTAAAAGGCACCGGGAGTAGTGTCGTGTTATAACATTTTATTTGTTCTTAGAGGAGCACTTTTTAAAATTGATTACTTTACACTTGCGACACCAGATACTCTGTAATGGCTGGCAGCCCAGCAAAAATGCTTGAACACCTACTAGAGACCCGTCTGGATGGAAGGTATGGCTACGTATTGGTTAACCCTCACTTATTTCAATGCATTACGTTACAAGTCAAGTGAATTTCTCCTCCAAATTCTACAGAGATCGATCCTCCGTGGACTCCACCGGACGACGAACATCCGCACCTTCTGGGGATACAGATCTGTTTCTGGACGATTTTCTCCTGACGCACATAATCTTCATGCCAATTCACCAACTCCTCACCGAATTGACAAGACAATATCCTTTTCATACAAAAAAGTATTTTTTATTTACCTTATCTTCGTCTTTGTCCTTCCACTGCGGTACTAACTAGCACGATGCAATAGTTTTCCTTAACAATAATTTTTGCCTTACTTCTCCTAAACTTTTTCAGACAATGCTGCGTATTGTAGGAAAGGTATGCAAGTTGATAAGGTGTCAGTCTCACAGGAATCCGTACACTTAGGAGCATGAAATCCATCAAAAAGACAATACTGACGAGTAGTCTGCCACGTCATTTTGCCCATTTCCCAGCATTATTCTTTTTCCCCATTTTCTTTCTACATTTCGGAACGAGATCATTGTATTTACAATTTCAACAAGTATGCAGAGATTGCTGTGCAATCAATTTTAACATTTTACAATGACGCTAGATTGCAAATTTGTTACGTCATGCATTGTTTAGCTCGCTTGAGTTTAAGGACAATTCTCCGTAGACAATACACGGATGAAGTAACAGTACATGTACATGTGTATTATTGTCCACCAATCAGACAGGCTCTGTTCCACTCCAGAGTCTCAAGGGAATAGAGATTGAATTTTCGGACTGGAGTTCGCAGTCTACATAAATACGATATGGGGTATAGATATGTACGTATTGTACGTATGATCCCAGGACTAGATACAGATTGAGAATATATGAAGAATTAGTGAAATGCAAATGCCGACTCAGTCACAGTCGCTATTGGAATACGAAGGAAATTGTTCAATTTTGCGAAATGTCACATTAGTCTTTTTAAAGCACTGGATCTCTCTTTGGCTGAGATCGAAGCCTACCTCTACATCCAATAGAAACTTGGCTAAAGAGTGATGCCAGGTAGTAGTGATGCGATCCTTACACATAAAATCGACTACGAAACTATCCGCCAAAGAATATAAATTATTATTGCCAACGCCAACAGCTTCAATGACGTCAAGCAGAATTTGATGATGAAATTCTGTGACGGTTTTCCATGTTCAAGGTTTGAAAAAGAAGCCTTTCTCAATGTGTTTAATCAATTTATTATTACAAACTGGCAAGACTACGTGTACACTCACGTAGTACATTTTTCGAGTAAGTTGGAAAGTAATTTTGGACAATCCGTCTTGCAATGAAAAGAAATAAGAGAAAGGGAAGGTAATTGTTTTGTTTCGAGCCGCTGGCAGTAATGGATGTAGAAAATGGATCCTTGTCGAGCATTTATTCTTGTCTCTTCCTTCCTCTTTATAAATTTCTAATCTAATGAGATGGTTTTGTAGCATGTGGGCCAGGTTTTATCGCTTTCTCTTTTGTGCAAAGCTCCTCTTTTTTTCTCTCTCTCTCTTTGAGGAGCTCGTAGCTCTTACTTATTCGGCTGCACGCTTGCTGGGAAAGTTTACTTTATCCATCAGGACAAAAGAGAGGCAGACACAACCTCATGAGACAAATTTTCCTTAACTCCCTTGCACTTGTAGGGTAGAGACTTCATGTCAAGACCGTGAATTCATCCTGGCCTGCAAACGAAGAGTGGTCCAATTTGTTCACAGGTAAGTTTCAAATAATCATATGTCAATCCCGTGCGAGTCCTAGTTCAATTTAACCCCCACGTACACACGCACAGCTTTTGGCGTTTTTTCGCACTTGACTGACCTTGAGTGTACATTGTATGTAACATAAGCAACTGGAAATAAGAGCTTTGAGCGTTTTATGAAAGCGTATGAACTCTCTTACATTTTGCTAAAATGGCATCATTCATGGTGTCTAATGTTACATTTGTACTTGGATTTGATTGTTTTAAACGTGTGTTACATTGGCCTTGGTCCCACGCACAGAAATTCCATATTATGTTACAAACACGTTTAATGGGTTGGTTACAACGACTGTAGGTGGGTGACGACGATCTACGATCCGGTATTTGAAGAAGTTTGTACTCACGCATTCCTTCAGGTAAGAACACTTCATCCTTTCACCAGGTGCATGTTATTGCTCGTACTCCCGAATAGACGCAACAGTGATGAATGAACCAATTTTACGTAAATCACTCAGCACTCGCAAGTCCTTCACATTTTACAGAATCTGTCGCCAATAATAATACATAATGTCATGTAACGTCAACAGAGTTTTTGCGGGCACGGAAAATTATTTCATTTTTTTAGACCAGAGTAAATTTCTGCAGTCGAGTTTTTAGCCACACATATCCGTTTGGATTTGTTGTTCTTTTATGCTAATTCTGAGAAACTGTGTATTTTATTTAGTGGTACTCTAGCATTAATTAAAATGTGTATGCTGTGCATGCGTTAGTTGATGAAATGTTTACGTATCTTTGCCGTCATAATTAACAGGAGCTGTTTGAAGAAGTCCAGAAAGAAAGCATGTCCTCAGGCGCTTTGCAGGACGAAGTGAATCTCATGATGCAGGTGATGGATATGCAAAGAACGTACGCTGAAGAGACCAGCACAGTTTCGGGTCAAAAATGGAAGTTGCCTCCATCAGGACAAGTATGTGCTTCTTTGTCCTTTCGCCAGTCATAGTGGAAGCACAAACCTGCATAGTTTTCTTCTTTCTTGCAGCCTGTCAGTCTCTTTGGGAATCCGTCGTCCCACGCAGAGGATGGAATAGAGGGACCCATTGAGAGAAGATGCACCATGCACGGGTGTGATGATAGTAAGTGATGATTTTTTTTTACTTTCTCCAGAATAATTGCTGAGCTGGGCAAGTTTTTCAGCGTTGTTTGCTGTAGCAAGCGAATATTATGTATGTACGCCCACTAAAAAAACTGTAGATAAAAAAATTTCGGTACGTATAAGACGCACAGGTCAGAAAAGCTATAGCGTTTTCTCAAGTGCCATTGTAATGAAATTAACCCATCAGTCAAATTGAAGAGAAAGGTTGCTCTCTCCTTTTTTGGTCACTGAACCGCGAGCCCATAACTAGTTTCCAGATTGACATTGTATTTCCAATAAAGCTTCCACCATAATCAACCACGAAAACGTGATAAGTAGACGTTCAGGAGAATAATGGACATACAGTCAATCGGCTTGAGTTTGTGGTGGCAGGTAATAGCATGGTTTGCCACGAACTGTGAAAAGTTATACCCATACCTTGGAAATAATTACATCGACATTGCTAAGTGATCTGCCAGTACGTGACCAGGGTGGAATCGGTTGTCAGGTCTGCAGAGATTGAGCAGTGTGAAGGAACGAGGAGAAAGGTGACGATGTGTGTGCTTTCACTTCGTAAACTTTCTCCCTACCTACCAGATTCCTTCGTAGTTAGACGTCTACGTAAAGTCTTATGGTGGTCTTATATAATGCGGTAGTGAAAAGGTGTTGAACTAAATGCTATGATGATTTATTCCAGTCATTTTCCGAGTCTACTGTGCTGACCATACGTATTGGTAAGACAAGAATAAGCTTTAGTTTATTATTTCATGACTACATAGATATGCATACATACATCATAAGGATTGAAATTTTATGACAAAATAATTCGCATGATAATTAGTGACAACACGTCAACCTTGACCAAACGGTCATTGGGTTGAAAAAGTCTGACACATACTAATTATATGAATGTCATTTACAGCACGCTAAGGTTCCCATTAAACACACCTGCTGACACGTAAGTCAACACAATGTTTTGCGACTTTCAAGAAGTAAATAAGACAAACAAACGTTTTTGTTTGATTTTAGCTTGAAACATGTCGCCGCCGACAAACTCGGTTTGAAACATGATGATCTCGTCCTTGTAGAGCTTAAATCATCCGGTAAGCGTTTCCTTTCTTATGGTTCGTACTAAATAATTAGTTGACAGTCATAAGCGGAATTAATTTTGGGTAGTTTGACCCCTGCGGTGACCCATATTTCCCATGTTATAATTTTAAAAAGTTAAGATATGTATAATGCCTTGACCCTCTCTCCCCTCAAATCGATTATGCACAGTCCCTCAAAGAATTTACCTATTTCACTAACCCTTTACCGGAACCTTGAATAAGAATCATACTGAAAGTCGTGCTGTTTTATTTTTTATCCCAAAAATATCCTGGACCTGGAATTTTTTGAAAATATCTCCATCGTCATGGAACGTGACCTGGAAAATGGAAAATGGGATTCATAAAGGTGAAAAGATTTCATTCAGTGACACGGACGTGAGCATCCCAACGTCTCTCAGCGTGAACGGGAGGATTTTTATTTCCTTGAAAGATCATTTGGACGCACTGGTAATTAAACTTTCTCTGCACATTGGTACATTCGCACTCCTTCCTCGACGACGACCCTCCTCTTTATTTGTGAAGATTTCTCTCCTTCACTTTTCTTGGTGGCTGGAATGTGTGTTCAATGTTGTGAAATAAAGATGGAGAGTTTTCGAGGAAATTAATGTCTGCTGGTGTGCACACGGTCAATGGCTGGCGGTATAATATGGTCGGTCGTGTGAGAGGCTGTGAGATAGCTGGGGATGGAGAAACCCGTTTTCTTTCTTCACCACACTAGAAGCACCAACTGGAGTGAAAGAGAGCTGAAGGAAAATAATTTGTGGGTTTGTGGCAGCGTTGTGACTTATTACTTTCATTTCAATTCAGACGTGTCTACCAGAGCAAGAAAACGCAACAGAAGGGGCAAATTTTGACATTGAGATTTTCAGGTATGCTCATCCGAGAAAATAGTACTTTGTAGTAACCAGTGCTTCTACTGGTATAGTCGTGGTCCTTGCTACAATTTATTGGATAGATACAGTGAAATAAAAAAAAATCAGTATATATTTATGGTGGCTTTGCATTATTTTCAGCACGAGAGAGTTGGCGTACCATATGACTGTACGTGACAGACTATTTGATTCATATGTATTTAACGCCATATCTCCAGAAATTCAAAATTTGATGGGCATATTTTCTATTCAATTTGCAGGTCTTGGACTGGTCTTTATTTAAATGTGTTCACGAGGTACGTAACGAGGACCTGTGTATTTCCCACTCCACTTTCAGACTCATGTCCTTGTGTCATACAAGTGGAGTGGGTGTCAGTGTCAATTGTCATGTGTAAATATTGCCATCCATCTCTCGAAAAAGAATCCATTTTGCCACCGTTCCAGTGTGGAAACGAGTGTAGAAAAATGGAACAAATGAAGTCTACTGTGTATTTTTATGTGTTTCAGTACGAGTTGATTTATAAGACCTTCGGGCGTCACCATTTTCGCAAAATAACATCCAATTTGGACGTAAGTCTCGTATATCTTTGCATTCATGAATGTCGGAAAATTGTAGAATATATGAAATAAAATGTTTTTGGACTTGCAGGTATTCCTCCGACGATTCAACGAAATTCAGTTCTGGGTCGTAACCGAGCTCTGCTTAACGGCGTCTCACTCTAAAAGAGTTTCTCTCTTTAGGAAATTTCTCAAGTTGGCTGCTTAGTAAGAACTTTGCTCCTCTTTTCGTTTAAGAGATACATACACAATGCTTCCTGATAATGCAATTTGCATATATAAATTCTGCTTTGCTCATCTCTTCAAATAACTCTTTCCTTCAACGTGAATAAGTAATAAAATTCAAAAAACTAACTTGAAAACAATGTTCATTGTTGGCATTTGGCATTATGCTGATGTACGTCAAAAGATGATAATCACTTTTTTCTCTTTTATATGTACAAAAAATGTTATTTTTTGTTGGAGATGATCGTTATTACAACGTTTCATGCCAGTTCAGCTTAGCCAGGGGTACTCTATAAATATATTTAATGGATGCTACCTATAAAAATGCTTCAAGTGCATTCCTCCTGAAGGCAACCTGTGGGAGACAATATTGCCTTTCGAACCGAGTGTAAAACATGAGAGTCAGTTGAAAATTGTTTTTATCGATCCCTTCTAAAATCTGTCGAGTCTCCTTTTCTGCGGTGTTTATGAGAAGGATAAAAGAAAAGTGTCAGCCACAGCATAATGCCAAAGCGGTATCGACGGCAGGACTTTCTCTTTCTTGATCCCTTTGATGCAGCAGCCATGAACTATGCAGTGGCTACTGAATTCAATTGGCTACGTGCATGCAACTGTAGTATGTGCCTAATATAGCACATGCAGGTATTTTGATCTGCCTCAACAACTGTCAGCCTCCATCGTGCATTGTCTAACCTTGGCAAACTTTTTAGATATTCATGATCCAGGTTTTGGGAAACACTTTTATAAGAAGGCTTTTGTCCATTTTTATTTCCAGTTGCAAGGAATATCAAAATTTAAACGCGTTCTGTGCCATTGTGATGGGTTTGGGAAATGTTGCCGTTACTCGGATGAATGTAAGTATAGAATTAATTACGCATTTACGATCGTCCATCGTTCACATGAACCTTGACTATTTTTTCTTGGGCATGTGTAGCAAACCTGGGAACGCCTTCCTTCGAAATCAAGAAAAGTCTTTGCCGAATTTGAGACCTTTATTGTGAGTATAAAATTTCTTGCTACATAAATATTTGCATTATGAAATCTAATTCTTATCATAACCCAATACTTTTCAGGACCCATCCAGAAACCATCGGTTAGTATTTGTTTGGCTTAAGTATGCTTCATCTCGGAGGTAATTCTAACAAGTTTTTGTTATTTTGACTGTAGGGCGTACCGAATGGCTCTCAATAAAACAACGCCTCCAATTATCCCCTTCATGCCTCTAATTCTCAAGGACATGACTTTCACTCACGAGGTAAAGGTTAATCTCATACTTAAGGGGTGTCCCTTAATGAAAGTCTCAAGTGACCAATTAGATATGTCTATTTGGCATAAAATCAATAAATATTCCTAAATTTGATCAACTATATTTAACGATTTCAGGGTAACCAGACGTATTCTGATTCACTGGTAAATTTTGAGAAGATGCATCTCCTTGCAAGCACTATTCGTACGATGCGATTGTGCAGAAGCCGACCTCTCAGTAAGACTTTCCTTTACACACATTTGATTGTTGCCATGAAATTTTGTCTTGAATCGCAAGGGTGTTAGCAAAGCATTTTCTACACTCTAGACATCCCACCTCCCACGCCCAGAAGTGAAGCAGAAGTCAGAGCTTATATTCGATGTCTTAGATGCATTGACAATCAGCGTGTTCTAAATCAGCTTTCTCAACGAAATGAGCCCAGCCAACGTCCCAAGTAAACGAAAACTGAAACATCATTCATAATAAGATTTTTAAGTGATTAAGACATTTCTCGCGTTATTATTGAGATTACAATGACGATGCAAACCAAAAAAACCAATGTACAACTATATGATTATTATTGATAAATCAAGTCAAATTACTTTATATTTGATCATGTTTACAATCTTGATATTTATTATTGATTATAAAAGCCAGAGAATAATAGTTGTAAATTTAGAGTCTAAAATATCATTCTATAAATAGATACCTAATATATGTTCATACTTAACGTTGAAAATGCAGGTGACATTCATAATTCTATATTAATTATGTACAGTTAAGAGGACAAAATAGCTATGCAATGACTTGTGAGATGCATAAAACAATTATCTCACAAGTTTAACATTATCATATTGTAAGCATTACAAATAATTCTCAATAATATTATAAAAGAAAAATATTAGTCTAGTCAGATATACATTTTGTTTTAATTTTAATACAAATGTATTTTGTTGCAGTTACCACTTTGCTCATATCATTTTTGTATTTACCATCATAACTAATTGCTTGCTATGTACAATTTTTGAAAAAAAAACAAGGTGTAAATTTATCTGTAACATAAGTAGTTAGCACGTATTTACATACATATTCAAAGCAAACCTCTTTTGAATTGTCTTAATATAACTTGATTGCCTTCAACTGATACCTAGAAAGACATATTACAATTTCCTAATCATATCCCTCCTCTCTCGTAAATTTCAGGTTCATAATAAAATTATACGAAACGAATGTAAAATTTTAATGTGAACGAGTTGTTATAAAAATCATATTCAATTTATCAGATTTACATATTATTCACAGAGAAGTTTTCGAATAATAGTTGACTTGTGTGGTTTGACGTGTTACAAAATAATCAATAATTTATTTATTTGAGGATACATTTAATTGATGATAACAATGCAATAGCTAAACCTGCCAAAAAAACTAATGTTTTGCAAGTTCTGCATGATGTTAGCAGGAATTGTCCAAACGTTCATGATATTAATTATTACCTAATATGTATGAGCTCTAGGTTTTAGCATAAATTCTCACTTGTACTTATAACACGAACGTAATCGTACATATGTCTCTTTTGCATGAAATCAATAAATATTCCAAAATATACTATTTAACTATTTCCTATTGACAACTCGTGGCAAGTTAAGATTGTAATTCAGATTGCAAGTTGAGATTGCTCACCTTTGCGTGTACATTCATTTATCCGTCATAATTCATTCCGGAAATATAGTGACATACATAATTTTCACTATTTAAGCTGATGCTCGATCATTTGTGTGCGGCAGTTACTTTGTCTGCAGACTCGTTCTTCTGTTTTAGAGGAACTATTCGGATACCATTATATTTCCACAGTCTAATCTGAATCATTCAATATGTCAACGCCAATGAACAGTGAAGTTATTAAGACAAGTAATGGGATCCTAAGGCCAGCTTACAACCTTGGTAGACTTTCAGGTCGGGTGAGGTTTAGGAAAAGGTCATTTAACACGATTAACGCAGACTTGAAATCCGACAAGGCCAGAGTACAACTCGAACATTATTTAAATCCGCATACTGACCATTATACGAGGGAATCATCATATTCTGGCTGTGGAAGTAAATTCCATAATTATTGTCAACACACAAGCCTTCATGGGTTTCGATACATTACGGAGAAACATCGAAATGTTAGCGAAAGGTGAGTGTTTTTAAATAAATAACTTTACTGAGGAATTCGAAGTTGGTTATTGGTTTCTTTACTCGTGTAAATTAAAATAATATAATACTGAGAATTTTATGAAAGGATATTCTGGGTTGTTTGGTGTCTCTTCGGGATTTCCAGCGCAATCTATATGATGAGCAAAATATGGCAAAAATGGCAAGACAATCCCGTGCTTACATCGATTGCGACGACCAATTTGCCAGTGTCAGAAATTAACTTCCCGGCTGTTACTATTTGCCCAGTGAACAAAGCAATCAACGAAAAACTCATCATCCAAGGTTCATAAAAAAGGAAATTGTGTCCAGCTCAAATGCCACCGACAATGCACTCACGTTGTGTGAGGTCGTATTTAATCCAGACACACGAGATCACACGAGCCACACCATCCCTTTGTCTTTATTACTTTTACTCCCAATTTCCTAAATGACTAATTCGCTTTCACTAATTCGTCTATGCCACAATTGAAAATATAATCGTATCAAAAAGCTAGTTGTATTATTGAAAATAATTATATTACAGTTTATACGTAGATCGGATTATCGAATATGCACATCTGTAATTAATTCATGGTGAACTTATGATGGCGTGTCTCACATCACATAAAATATTTAAAAGTAAAGCATCAGCCTGTGGCATCCAATGTTGAACACAATTTCCTGTAGCAGTATTACTCCCCGTGTGGTAAGGATGAACTTAATCGTTTAAAACTATGTAGGCTGTCGTCACAAGTAAGTTTCCAGAATGACACTTGCTGGTGATTGATGATGAAAGTTGTCCTACATGCTTGTCCTGTCTATAGCCTTACTTTCGGGATAATGAAGAAAATAATAAGTGGGCTGGTGGATGTTGAGTCAAAAAACAATGACAACGATCTCAAGATAAGTGAGTCTGTTGATGCAAAGGTGGCCAAAAAATATCTGAGACTGGTATCACCTAAATGCGAAGATTACATCTTACGTTGTGAAATTAATGGTCAGAGGCCTCCGTGCACGGACATATTCAAATCCGTGGTAATAGTAATAAGTAGTTTTTCGTGCTAAAAATATTATTTAATATGTGTCATATTTGTATGTATTAGTTAACGGATTCTGGTTATTGCTGTGTTTTCAATGCTATAACAGACGACAATGAGCTTGTAACAGAAAATGAGTCGTAAGTCGTGTGTACATAAATAAGTAGTAAGAACATAATCTGATGGCAAAGGTGATACTGTCTGACAATTACTGTATTTGATCTACTTATTATGATGTTATCATGCCATTCAGGAAGGTTCGTGAATTGTCCGATCTGATGAGCAGGAACAAGAATTTGAGTACTTGCAGAAAGCAGTATGGCAATATCATGACAAGTATCGTAAAATATTCGGAAGTCCTGATGAAGCCAACAACACTAAATTGCCAACGGCGGATTCCCTGACCTGTTCTAGAATTTATGACGATGACTTATTTCCTGGAATATGTAATCATATAGAAAAATGTAGAAGTGATCCTAGTGCTTGCAAACTGAATGTATCACACACGAAACCTACATCTCCAACGCCTTTGTCCGTTAATTCATCAGCCTCCAACGATGTTCCTCAAAAAAATAAAACCATAATATTCCGAGCTCCTGGAGCAGGTATGTATAAACGAAATGTGCATAATATTACATGCAAGTATGTGGATAAAGTGACGTACGTAATACTTGACTAGGTCGGAGTAGAGGCCTTACCATAATGACTGACACTTTGCGATGCGGTGAAATACCGACAGATTCATTCAAAGGGTTGAGGGTAACGTTGATTATGCGCTAACTATCGATGGAATTTCAAGTTAAGGTTGTTCCTTATTTTGTTTGTATCATTATTGGCAGGTTCATGTTCATGGCTCTGACGAGTTCCCAGCAGTCGGAGAGAAAGGTTTTATTGGTAACAATGATGAAAGACCCATGCACACTTTAATACTACGTGTGATAAAGTTGTTTGAAATTCGCGACAGTTGGTCCGGGCAAGGAAACTCAGGTGGGCGTGACAGCAATTGATACGTACAGTGCAGACGCTCTCATGATTTTCCGTAAGGAGAATCGACAATGCGTGTTTGGTGACGAGGTGAAGCTGACCTACAACAAGCTGGACTACAGCAGATCCTCCTGCGTTATTGAATGTGAAGATTATTTGGTTCACAAAGATTGCAACTGTGTTCCTTACTTTTCTCCAGGTGAGACAGCTATTTTTGTGTCGTAATACATTGGAATTTACCCTATTAAAATTGTATGCAAATATTTGTTCAAAGCTGCTGCGAATTATTCAATATGTGGCATGAAGAAAATGATAGACTGCGTGCACAGAACCTTGAGTAGGTCACACACGGCTTTAATAATTATTCATACACTTTTGTGCGACAACACGAATAATTATTTCTGGGCAAATTAATTTAAATGCAGACGAAATTCAACAAGGAGGTAAAAGGAGCACATCATTTAAACTGGGCCGAACTAACGGTAAACTTGAGAGTATGTATACATTTAAATATGTTGTAGTTTCCGTAGTCAAATCCTTATGTACAAATTCCATGTACTCGCAGAAGGTCCAGGAAGCTCCCTGTTTAACTTTGAACAGGTAAAATTGAAGCAAGAAAAGTCTTGCATTGACCTTTGCCTCCCGAAATGTAATGAGACGTTTTACAATATTGTCGTGAGTACTGCAACGTTCCCGAACCAAAATGATCCCAATAAAACCAAGCTGCTACGAGAGGCAATTGATGCGGGGTTTGAAAATCTTGCAGACATTAACTACGTGAGGTAACATTGCATACCATGCACCTTATGAATTATGAGTTGCTAAAAATGAAAACATAATCATAACAAAGAATTAATTAATAATATTTCAATTAAAGTGGGAGCATTAGTTTGCTACGAGTCTTTTTCAGAGAGTCCACTATTATGCAATACAAACGAGACGAGCTGTTCACTTGGGAGGATTTCATTTGTGAGGGGCTAACCATTTTGATAACTATTTTAGTACATAATTGTAACATTTGATACAACTTTTGCAGCCAACTTGGGGGGTGTCATGAGTTTGGTAATAGTTCATGCAAATATGTACATATATGAAAGATGTAAATGAATGAACCTTTCTGATTGATTATTGCAGACTCTTGGGTTCAGTTTATTGAGCTTGATCGAAGTGATTTACTTTTTCACCATGAGACAAATAATTGACAGACTTAAACAGAAGAAGCAGATACAACAAAATATGAATCAAGTGATCATTCCATCGATCTATGTTACCAAAAGTGTTCAGAATAATAAGTCGGAAATTTTTGGATTGGCTTAGTCAAAATAGGTAGATAAATATGTAAGAATTATATAAAAATGGTATAGTCAAAAATAATTATTGAGTGTATCAAAGAGAATGCAAATAACTAGAAAACACAGTACAATTGTGATTATTAGTCGTAACAAATTTTCTTGACCCAAATCCATGTCGTGGAAGTGGAGCCATCCATATTTTGGATATTTGAAGTTGATTTGAGATCATAGTCGAATTTTACGAGGGTGTTAAAAACGATATTGGCAGCACTCATGAATGGTTCCGTGGAGGTTGTGTGGTGTTCCAATTTGTTTTGTCGAGAGAACGACAGGCAGTAACTGCAGTTGCAGCAAAGTTTGTACACTTTCAATGAAGAAATTTGGTCAGAAATTATTACAGATGAGACGATCCACAAATTTGGAGAAAGCTAGTTGGTTGATGGTGGGCTTGACTTTCGGTTCTTTCGCAGACATAATTAGATCGCCGTCTATGTACACAAATAAGATAAATATCTTTATTGCAAAATAACGCATCAAAATGTAATTGTGATGAACTTACATAATAGTTATAACACCCATTACTTATATGTAGTAAATTGTAACCGAAAACCAATGACTTTTACTTTCACCATAACTTTATAACACAACAGTCTCAGGAAATGACTCCACGGAATCACATTAAATGTGATGATTCACTGATGATTAATAAAATTGTTATTTGTTTTAACTTTACATGTATATATATCAAAATTGATAAAAAATAGCAATTTTTACATTTTCATAAAAATGTGTATGGCTTGAATAGTCTCTTTAAACAGAACAGAACGCTGCTATGAAGTAGACATAAATGTCCCATTGTAGCATAATAAATGATAACAAAAAATGTAACAGAGATTACCTAAATGAGTCAAGGCCCAAGGCTTATGCGAATTCCGTAGTCAAACAGATTGCAAGCATCAAAAATAATTTTTTTGAACATGCATGTATTGCTTATCCACGATGTAAATTTCAGAATCAGGATGACATGTCACATGAAATTTTAAAAATTTTGTAAGATGAAGCAAGTATATACAGCATCCTAAATTTGAGTCATGATTAGTCAGAAAGGCCCTGAAAGATTTTCAGGGCAATTTCAGAAGGCGAATCAGACCGATTTAGTGGAGAGTGAGACGAGTTATTGAGCTTAGAAAAGCATCACCGCCACAATTCAACCCCCTCGACTTGTCAACTTTGGAGTTCACGGCAATTTACAATTCAATTAATTATAATTTAATTAATTAACCCAAAAATAATAAACTTATCGTGCCTTCGTGAAAGTCTTCTCATGAACTTCAAATGATATTTAATTGAGAGAGATAGTTAATAGTAGATTGGCAATAGCAGCATTTAGGAACAGCCGAACGAGTGGGTGGAGCTGATTTCTATCATTTTCAAGAGTAGGGGAATTTCGGAGAAAGCTCCAAAATTTTAGACAAATTGAAAGAGCCCAGTGCCGACAGCATGGGCGACGTTAAAACCGTTCTGCGGCGAAATCGCCCGGGTACAAAGGCGTCGGTGAGATGATTACATGTTTATTTACATATATTCATATCATTCTAGTTTTTGAATTGTATGGCTTACTTTTACAATTTACAAACTACGCTGTTCACTATTACACGTTTTGTGAATTTATTTATACATAGGATTTTTGCAAGTGGCCTGACGAGGCTTTTGAAGAGATGGATAGCACACTGGCTGTGCAGCAATGGATTCAACAAACGATAAATCGGGACCCTGCCAATATTTCGGCAATACTGACACCCCCAGAGACCCAAGATGAGGAAGTGTGGAAATACGAACATCTTCGACAATTCTGCATGGAGTTGAACGGATTGGCTGTGAAATTACAGGTGAGAAATAAATTTAGAACATTGAAGATCGCACATTTTTATTTCCCACACGAATGCACTGATTTCATAAAATAAGCATCAAGCCATAAACAATTGAATTCTTTCATTCTTTCAGGCAGAATGTTTTCCAGAGACTTGCAACCAAATGACAGCGACTGAACAGGTTCGAATGTGGATCCCTATTTTTTAAAAGCATTTTAACAATCAGACACTTTCAAGACATTGTGATTGTTATTCTTAAAAGAACTTTTATGATTCTTGTTCTTAAAATCTCCGTCTCTCACCTAGTTAACTAGATGAAAGAAATGAATATAGGGAAAATAATTTGGCTAAAAAACTAAAAAAAAGGATAATGTCTTGAAATTGTCGGACACATCAAAAAATACAATAAGCTATATGTACACATTAATAAATTAATTTAATCCCTTGAATAGTGGATCTTTTTATGTGCGGCTCACAAGTCACCAAAGGAGTGTCCAGCAATCGATTACACTCGCCACACACTGGACGGAGCAGCTTGTCTTTTAAACAGTAACAAATACTTCCCCAGCAGGTATTAAGGAGATCCTCAATCTTATCGGTCGAAGAGTGATAATGAACTAAAATCAATTTTTCAAATTAAATTTTAGGGTATCTATACGGGAGTCGTCTTTGGGAAAATTGGGATCTGTTTGCAGACGGGTTTACAGAATATTCTCACATGCATATTTTCATCACAAAACACTGTTCGATGATTTTGAATCCACATCCCATCTCTGTAAACGATTTACGTGTTTTGTAATGAAGTATAATTTAATGTCACGGGATAATTTGATTGTCCCGAACATGGAAGATGGGGCCTCTATTGAAGGAAGTGGAGGTGGAAATCCGACTGAAGGAACTCCAGCAGCTCCACTCAACACTTCTCTAATAGGAACACCTACCCCATCAACCACGAGCTCATCCGAATCTGAGGCTTGATTTTAGTTAAAAAAACGACTAGTTTGCATTAATATTTTATTGGTTACTCCAGTTTTGCGCTTTTAAATTTGTTGTTTAAATATTTTCAAGTTTGATTTGCGTATTTGTGACTTGGATTGAGTAATTTATACATTAATTTTAGTAGTAATGCGTGGGCATTAATTGGAATATAATGTTCAATTCAACGAATAATTCTAGAGATGTGTAGATTTAAATATTTTAGTTCAGCGACATAAAAAATCTGTGAGTGCACTCTTCTATAATGTGTCATGTATGCGGGTGATGAGTGTATATCAATGCAAGATTAATCCCAAAAACGGATTCCTAGTCGTAAGAAAAAGGCATATTATCTATTCATATTTTGAGGGTTTTTGATGGTAATGGATATCGTAGAAATTCAAATTTGTATCCCTACAAGATCAAGATTTAGACGCTTTTTCATACAATGAACAATTTGTGTATATTACAAGTATTATACACCATGTGTGTATGTCGTATCTTTTACTTATGTAATGTGTGTATGTATGTTTATGTTTGTGTTGACAAGGTGGGTAGGTGCAAATAATACAAACTGAAAATTAATGTTTCTCTCTTTTGAATTTTGTCATTTTTGTCTGCAGTAAAAATAAGATACAATTTCCAGTCCAGATTTTTGATTGATAAAATAAATGTATTAATTCTTGGAATAATTGTTAAGTGACTGTTATTCTTCATTCATGATATCCATATTTATGTTTGATTATGTTCAGATTTTTCTGATTGTGGAAGTGGTGGAGGAGGAGATTGGGGAGTGGTATATTCTTCCGACATAGAGCATGATAATTCAGACATTGTCAGAACTCGAAATTCTTTTCTTCTTCCAATGGATTTCTGGTACCTAAATCAAGTTTAATTAAATTACACATATTCATATGTTGTATGCATGTACTAGTTTATGAAGGATGAACAAGAGCTTCCCATACATACCCTACTTGATTTTCATCCAGTTGCTCTAAGGACATAAGAATATAAATCATAGGAACACTCCTAGAAACTTTGAGACTGTCCAAGCCATCTGCTACCGGATCCCAGGTCTCTGTCGTTCTGTTATTGTTCAAAAGAGTATTAAGTAGCTATGCTTTCTCCAACATCAAATAATCGCTCTTTTTATAATCTATCGTAATAATTTTTTTGTTACATGCCTCACTTGTCCCAGTTTTGTGATTTGAAATATTTGTTTGTGGTACGTTTTGACAATCTCGGCGCAAGAAACGCAAGCCACCGTGGCCCTTCCGGCGGCAAATAGGACAATTGGTTTTCCAGGACCTAGGACTTTAAGCACCTTGTTGGCCATAGTCTTTGCGCCCTTTTCCTTGGGCACCTCCATGTGGAAAAACTGAGGAGCGTCGAAAGGGTTGGAGTCTATGTCGTGCTCGATGTGAGAGGGTTCTACTTCGTAATTTTCCATATTGCCTTGCCCTCTACCTTGTGGTCATTTAAAAAAAAGTACAACCACAATAAAAAATCCAAAATGAGCCCTTGTTGTATAAAGAGAGAGTATAAAGAAAGAACAGCAGGAGATGTTGTGAGAACTTCACTTTCACCTGATGGAGCAAAAGAAGACAGCATCCACGAGCGAAGAAAAACTTTGAATGAAAGTCGGAAAACTTGGATTTTACTAAATTTGTTTAGAGGACTATTTATGTGTAGATAGTGCAACGCAACAAGACAAGATATTATCAGTATGAAATAAGATACGTAAATTGCTAAGATTTAATTAGGAATTATTGAAGAAACTTATTACGAACATTTTGATTTGTGAATGGGGAACAATAAGGGACCTATTATCCAGCCGCATTGCAGAAAATTGTTGTCCATAGGTTTGGATATAGTTTTTCCACTATTACTATCGAATGTTGTTCATTGGAACATGCAACTGTTCATCCTTTTTAATACCGTCGCGAATAATGTTGACCCAAGTGACGATGCCAGTGAGGCCAAAGTCCTACGCCAACCTGGCCTCTTATGACATTTCTCACTCCAATCCATGCGTACTCCACCACAACAACCCCGCTTGGAGGCGTCGATATGTAAAATCCCACAGTCCTTTATTGTCGAAATTGTGTCCAAGGACAGGGGGTTACTGGGGGTCGCAACAATATTATGACAAGCTAATGTCGCCTTCAACCGGCTTACAGATTTTGCAGACAGCACGCTTCATGTCCTTCCCTGGCGCAGAGGCAAGGCATAAGGAATACGTAGAGAGAAGAATTTTAGGGTGAGACCTTCCCTACTAACCAACTGTATTTATTTAATATTCAGAAAATTTACTTTCTGGTTCTTTGGTTCTAGATTCTCAATGGAACAGATGTATGATGTGGTATCTGATGTGGAACGTTATCAAGAATTTCTTCCCTGGTGTCAAAAATCTCTAGTCAAAACCAGAAGAAAAACTTATGTCATTGCTGACCTTGTTGTAGGATTTCCTCCGTTGGTATATATACACATAATGCTCAATATTTTTCGAAGAGTAAAAGTAAAATTTGTTAATTCATTCATTTCAACTTGTTTTATTTTCCATCTAGTTGGAATCTTATACTTCTAGCGTCACCCTGGTCAAACCGAACTTGATAAGGGCCGAATCCACACAAGGAAAATTATTTAACAAGCTCATAACAACCTGGAAATTTAGCCCCGGTTTAAAAGGGAAACCACAATCGTGCGTCATTGATTTTTATGTGTCATTTGAATTTAAATCTGCACTCACGTCTCAACTAGCTAATGTGTTCTTCAACGAAGTAGTTATAGTTATGGTGCGAGCGTTTTATAATGAAGCAAAGCGAAGATATGGCGCAGAATCTGTTCCTAGTCGAAAAATTAACATTTTAGCGCCAGGCAGTAGTAACAATGACAAGTCCTGATTATTGTAGAAATTATTATCATGTGTAGCAATTTTGAAAATAAAATCCTTACTTTTATTAAAGTTCATTTGGTCCTGTGTCATATTAATACTATCGTAATTAAAGTCACAATAGAGTAATAATTGTAACCTTATGTGATAAAATAAAATATACACAAGTGTAATATGGTGCATAGAAAGTTGGTTGTTTTGAAAACCTTGTTTCGATTTTAGAGACAAAGTAATAATAAATTATGGATGGTGTAATAATCAATTTTAATTTCTATTACGTTCAATAATAAAACCGATGCCTTAGTATATTTGACTTCCATCCATTGTCAAAGACTTTTAAAACTATTTTAGCAATGGTTATTGTATTACTCAAAATTATATCATAATTATATCTCGACTAACATTATTTCAAAGCCATAACGTATAATTCGTCATAAGCTTTTGCTGGGCTACATGGTGTGCAACAGTGCAACTTGTGCAAGAGGTGGTTTCCAGGAATCATGGAGTTGTTTGTACTAAAAACATTGTTACTAATATTAGCTGCTTCCAAATCGTTAGCGTTTGAAAAAGAATCATTTTCCTTGTTGATTCCCGATACCATACAAAAAAGTGTAAGCCATGATTAGTTACGCGACTACGCGTTCAACCGAAACATTAATGCATATTTTTTTAATTCTGCAATTTATACAGCCAGAGGCGTATGTATGCTCAGCTTATCATTTAAATAAGTCAGAGAAGAAATTCATTGGTAAATATTTACTACTTAAAAAATGTATATGTATAACTTTCAATCTATATAAAATTATTTTTAGTTGCATTTGAACCACAAGCATCCATGGATCAAGTTCACCATATGCTGGTGAAGTTGAAATTGAATTATAGTTTCAATTGTGCATTTTAATATTAATCGTCTTAATATGATAGCTTTATGGATGTTCACAACCTGGGACATACAACCAGACCTGGGATTGTGGCTCAACAATGGCAACCAAGCATCATGGTCATCACGGTCATGAATCCAGTCTTCCATCAGGTGGAGTTTGTGCTGATGAGTCAAATAGACAGATTCTTTATGCATGGGCAAGGAACGCTGAGGCACTCGAATTACCTGATGGGGTGGCTTTCGAAATCGGGAAAGGTACCGAAATTAAGCATTTAGTGCTTCAAATCCACTATGCCCACGCGCCACCAGTCAAAGGTCAGGTCACAATATGACCATTAAATTCTGTCAAAGTTAAACTTAAATTATGTATCTTGTATAGAAGATGGCTCAATTAGAGATGCATCCGGAGTCACTGTAACATATACAAGAACTCCGTACGAAAAAATATCTATGAAGATATGCATGATGAACATAATAAATGTGTATATGTTTTTGTGAAAATTTATGTACACACAACCAAAGAGAGCGGGTATATTTATTTTGTCTTCGGGAGGCGAAATCCCCCCACGAAGTACAGAACACTTGGAGGTGGCGTGCAACCTGGATGATGAGGATATAGAAATTCACCCTTTTCGATTTAGGACACATACCCATAACTTAGGTCTCATTTCATTAGAGAATCATTCGTCCGAGTTGCATTTTTAAGTTTAAAAAGGTTTGTGTTAACTATATTTTGCAATCCGTAGGAAAATTTGTGTCCGGGTACCATGTTCGAAGAGACCACAATGATGAAGATCAGTGGACGTGGACACGAATTGGAAAAAGAGATCCGTCGGAACCCCAAATGTTCTACACTGTAGAGAACAATGTCATCGTTAGAAAGGGGGACGTACTTGTATGTGCAATATTACAAAAAGTATTTAAGGTTTTAAGTCAAATTTAAAATATTTTCAAAATACTCAGGCTGCAAGATGTACAATGGTCAATGAAAGAGAGTTTACAACTCGAGTTGGGTGAGTGATTTATTTATGCATATTTAGCATATGTACATTTTATGTACATAAAAGCATAGCTTATGTGCATAAAATGTGCATATGCTATAATTTCAGGGTAATGTGAAATTCTTGCATTATTTGACATGAAATTGCATCCTTAGGCCAACCTCTGATGACGAAATGTGTAACTTTTACATCATGTACTGGTCAGAAAAGGGGCTTTTGAGTAGAAGTGGGTGTGGCAGCCCTGGTGCTCCCACTTTCTACTGGGACAAAATTGACTCCGAATACCCGGAATATCCTGATCTTCAACTCAACAATTTACCACCCCACACCGAAACAGACGAATAAATTCAACGATTGCTTTGCACTAGCAGCTTGCTTCTTGTATGTAAGATGTAAACTATGAAAATGATGTTTTCTTATTTGAATTACATGATGGTACATTATATGATTATGATTACAGAATCCAAATATTTTACATATGTAAATATACTTGTCATTATTTTGAATTAATTGTAATGAAAAAATTGACTTCATGATTTTATGAACTTGCATATCTCGCTACGAATTGAATACATTTACCACATATCAGCTGACATCATTTCCTTCTTCAACAAAGAATACAAATCCTCCTCTAACCTAAACTAACCTAACTTGCTGTTGTCAATTAACTTTATTACGATAAAAAAAATCCTCTAACTTTGAACAAAACTGTTAAAATATTTCGAGCTACACATACATAAGTGACGTGGGTTGCCTTAAAAAAGATGTAGATTCAGAAGTTAAATCTACATGAAAATTAAATATACAAATGAAGAGGTGTACTGCACCAGTACTACTGGTGCTTGTGCAGGAATACATACATACATGTCATACAATGACAAGGCGCAATATATAGAAAATAACGATGGACCATTAATAATCCCGTTTAAAAACATTTATTAATGATACTTGCAATTGTGACGGATTTATAGCACAACGGAACGACTTATTTTGAAAGTTTTTCACTGGACTATAATGTAAGAAGAAAGTGGTTATACGATTTTACGACTAAATATAAGAATATTTTGTAAATCAGCATTATTTTGTAGATATGAAAAATGATGGAGAGACGTTATTCCTTTGGGGCCGACAACAGCTATCATTATGAAGAACACAGACCTATTTTGATCGAAAATTATCGACGCAGCTTTCTCGGAAGAGTAAACGATATTTTTTTCCTCTCATTTAATCCTACACCTTAAAATATTTTTTTACACGTACCTACCTAACATTATATTTTTCCCCCTTCAGGTTCGGACACTTAGCAATATTCAGAGGTTGGAATGGTACTTTATACTATTCTCATTTGCCATAATCAGCATAGGATTTTTTTTCACTGTTGCCCGCATGGTCTCATTAAACTTTCGTTCAGACCAATTTCTCGTCTGTATTTTAGTTGTGATCAACTTGAGTAAGTATTTCATATGGTTGCATATATAACGGTAAGAATGAAGGAATTTCATTCAGGATTGTATGTTTTTTTAGCCTTTTCAACATATTACCTTGTTCATGGAATATTGCAAGAGCAACCGTTTGAAATTCTCGCCTACATCTTTACTACGCTTATCATTGCAGTATTCGTAACCATCAATTTTGTATCGGTCGATGTGGATGACTATGTGCTCAGGGTGGTGTGTATAATAATAATCATCATCTATTACTTCGAGATATACAAAATACAATTGTTACAAGATTTTTTTTTACAGATGAGATTTATGATAACGATCATTCTCAGTCTTCCCAACATTGTTCTTGCCGTCAAAATTGGTCGAGGCTATTGGCAAAGTGGCACTTTTATCTTTAAGACAGTGGGTGGAGATAGGCGACTTCAGCGAATTTGCAGAATCTACCTTTTTGGGCAGAGTTTACTCATTTTTGACATGCAAGCCATGCTTTCGTGCGCAATTATCGTGATACAAGATGGATTTTCAGGGATGACAAATGAACAAACATACATGTTTATCACAGGCATTATTTTCGCTTTCATATGGCTCTTTGTCGGATATGCAGCGGTATTTTTATTATTCTTATGAACTTGAAATAATGATCCATTGAGACCGAAATTTTTCAGTTGTTCTATGTAATTATTTTTAGATGCGAACGGAAAACACACCCGTCACTTGGGTGTTTGCAGTAATTAGCATTGTCCAACCATTGTATGTCATTTATTTGATTGTGCAGGTAAATACTTCAAAATGCGACTAATCAATAATTGTTTTAATAATTTCATCATTCTAATTTTTGATTAGTCAAAGTTCAAATTGACAAAATATTCAGGTATTAAAATTTAATATTTCTACCCAATTTACGTCGTACACAGGGTCTGGATCAAATAGATAAACAATTCAACATACGCACAAATTCAGCTTATTTCATAGGATTTGTTCTACTGGGATCTCATTTTACGCTACTTGCGTTTCTTCCAATCATAAAAACTAACTATGGAAAAGGACTGAAAGAAATTAGTAGGTGGACTTTTTTAACGTTTAAAACTTTTGCGAGAGTTTGTAGAAGTATTGTACTTTTGCAGTTTATGGAGTTGAGCCCAGCAGCCCTGTTGACTTTCGGCGCAACATTGTAATCGTCCCTTCACGTGTTCATGTGCATCATCATCATCATCATCATGAGATATTACCTGCAGACGGAGAGTAATTTGTAAAAAAGTGCCTTAACTTATCATATTAATGTATAATTAATCGATTGACTCTGAAATGATGAGGGGTTTGACTGATCCTGAGTGGTTTAAGTATATGGTTGACATTATTTATAATGTCACGTCCTTCATGGTGCTACTTTTTTGTGATCTTTGTAAGAATTATTGATGTATGATTCGATTGATTAATGATTACAAGTTGTAATTTACAACGCCAAAAAACATTTATTAGGTGTAAAAGGCGTGTTTGTTGTTTACCCAATATGATATTTCCCTAGTCGTATGAATCGAGAGAAATATTCTGTTATATTTATTTATTTCATACACAAGGAAAGTGAGACAAAATAAAGATTTACCTAATTGAATTAAATCTCCCATCAAATAGTCCAATACCACAATCCATGCAAAATCCACGTAAAATAGAATATGATGCATATATTTTTGGTCACGTAGCCTCCTACCGACGTTTCTCATTGGTAATTCGTGACTCATTTGTGGTATCACATGTTGTTTTCATCGAAATAATATGCAAGATAGCAAAACATCACGACAAACAATTCATTTTACAAGTACAGGGTAAGTCAAAGCTACAGGGATACATTGTAGCTAAACGTTACCTCTTCATGAAAGGTTACGTCAAAAGTCGCCAACTAGTCTTCAAGTTTAACTTGAACTAATCAGTGTCATTATTTCTCAGTATTGCATGTACAATTATAGCACTGATCCAATCGGAGTGAGTGCAAACATTACAGTGTAATTGAGACACAAAGACTACAATAATCTGACCATGTTTCTACCGTTCGGACATAAAGCATCATCTCATAATGTCTTTCGATGGAGTCCATGAATCTGCATTTAGAGATATTTTTATGGTTAGCTAATGAAATCCTCACAGTAACATCATTGCAGCAGCATGGAAAAAGCTACACCCAAAGTCCATTAATAAATCGTGCTGTGGAACAACACAAGCAAAGTGAATGGATGGAAAATGGTGTTTGAGAAGGAGATGCAGTTTTTTACGCGTTGAGAGTTACGACTTGTTGTGGAATGAGTTAACCTACTTTTTCAGTGTTATTTGTTATGGACTGAAACACAACTCACACAGAAACCAGAAAGAGAGCTGCTGGTTGACGATGAGCTCATCATAAGGAAAGAGGAACACATTCTCGTTACATCGAAAAACAACGCAGAACAATCGATTTTTATTTTGTGCGTTGTAGAAAATGTTAAATTTTGTGCTTGGTCAATGTTTCGCGTAGAAAGAACATATCAAAATCGCAGATGAATTTCAAAACGAGGACTAAGAACTGAGTTTTGTGAGGGGAAACGGGCAGGAAGTGTTTTTCGATAAGACGACGGGTAATAAAGTAAAATAGGAAAATTTGTTGGAGGAAATTAGTGAAAGATGAGCGCTGCACCGTACAACGATTTCGAAGACTCGTACACAATTGTGAGCAGTACGTCCTTACCCAGAAGGGGAGGGGGAGATGGCAGTCAAGAAATCGAGGAGATAAGTTCCCTTCACTCGATAATCCTGGATAATGTGAGCCCTAAATATTATATAATTATCCTCAAAGGTTGTTGGGAAATTAAGACAGTAGACTCTGCCCAGACACCAGACAAGTGATATCCCCTTGTTTACTTATATGCATGTATATAATTCTGACCTTCAACACATAATGTGTTTGTAACAAAACTATAACACAGTTTGTGTTGTGATGAAAATTGCATATGCAATTGAAGAAGTACTCAAGAAGTAGTCGAAAAAGGATGAAATAGTTGTCGTTGTAATAAATGCTAGCCAAAATTGTAATGAATGAAAAGTGCAGAATCTCTTATCTGTTCTTTACATACATCCATATATTTATTTCCTCATTCACAGTGCGTACAGCGATTATGTCTATGATATGACTCCATTTTGCACTTGTCTGTGCTGATCAAGTTTACAGTTGACAGTTGTTAAATACGTAGTTATCTTATGAAACACGATGATGGATGTCTTTAAAATTTAAAAATTTTTCAGAGTGGAAAGAGCTGCAAGGATTTTCGAATGCAAGAATGGATCCACTTGATTGTGTCTATACTTACAAATTGCGGATATTTGGCATTTGTTGGATTTTTAATGTACAAATACATGGGAAATTCTGACCATTATGTATTTTCTACATTAATCATTATTAAGCTAGGTAAGTACATATTGGTTACAGAAGATTGGTATAAATTAATATGGGAATTTTCTGAATGAATTTACACTGATCTATTTGCAGTTTTCTCAACTTATTTCGTCCTCCATGGGATCGTACGCGAGCAACCGTTTCAAATAATAATGCAGTTGCTTACCTTACTCAGTCTTTTTTCGCTTGATTTAATTTATTATTTAAGTGATATCTCAAACCCTCCAGACAACAGTGACTTGGATCAAGTTGGTCTAGAATTGGTAATGATGATTAATGCAACACGTTATTGGTGACTGAATAAATAATACTCATTACAACATGGTATTTAGATGTTGTTTTATCTCCGTTCTATCCTTTGTCTCCTAAACTTGCTGACTGGATCCATGGTCGCATGGAAGTACTGGACAATTGAACAATCGATATTCAAGATAGTTGGGACCGACACTAGGAATGTGATGATCTTCCGAAATCTGTTTTTTGGATTCAGTTTAATGATTTTCGATATGGAGACAAGGTTCAATGTGTTCATCTATCTTCAATTTAACATTTAGAGGATTAAAAATAATAATTATACATTTCATTTTTTCAGCTTGGTTTCACTAATGCTATTTTTAAGAAATGGGTTGACTTCAATTGTTCTTCACGAAGTTGTCGTTTTGTCATCCGGAGCAATATTTCTCCTAATCTGGATTATATTGGGTTACAAGTCGATGAGATCCGAGAGTCGAGTTTTGACATGGACATTCATTATAGCAAGTTCCATTCAGCCAGCTTATTTGATCACACTATTCATCCGGGTAATGCACGCAGCAGTAATCAAAGATAAATGTGATTTATAATGTGTAATATTTTATCTTTAGAATATAAAATGGTCGGGAAGTAGCCAACCAGTACTCACAACGACAAGTCATTACATGTCACTTGTTGCGTTAACTGTCCATCTAAGCGTGGTTGCTGCAGTAGTTGTCGCGTCGCATTACTATGGCACGGGACATGGGTCATGCTTAGGTAAGCCACCAAACTAAACATGATCTTCAATTCTCTCGCACAAGTCTGCCAAGTTTTAACTTTCTTGACTCTTTGTTTTCAGTTGACGGGGTTCATGTATCTGTTAAAAATAGTGCAGAATATGAAGAGCTGAGACGCATTTTATTTTACCCCATAAATCCACGAGGTTCTCATCGCAATGACCCATGTTCATCTCGAACCATATTATTGAACGCAGAAGAAGTATACTAAATGAGTTTACATGTACAAATAGATGGAGTCAACAAACACATTTATTACCAATTGACACACACACACACATGTTCATATATATATATATTAGTCATTCAAATGTGGTATTGTGATGTGTTATGTTATTACAAACCCCCTGACAGTACACAAAATGTGATAGAAATGCAATAGTTTTAGAAAATATAATTTTTAACGCAATTATCCGATTTTAATTACCCGATAAACATATGCTTCTACCTGACTTTTGAAGAATCTCTAATTTGATGCTTCAATTCTTTAATAGCGCAGCTTGTGGCTATATTATTCATGCTATGCTGCCTACTTTTATTTATACGTGTGGATTATGACGTGTTTATTATGTACGTATTTATTAGTTTCACTTCCTTTAACCTGCTATGTACTGTCTTTCATTTTTTTTTAAAAAACAGACTCGAATTATTTAATAATAAATCATGATGGTAGCCTTATTTGGTTGCATTGAATTTGAATCTGTGTACCGAAATTTCTCACATTTCATCAAGTATGCAAATGCATTTATAACTTGATGGAAAATTCGCGTCATATATGTGTCTATGTATAAACACAATAATAAATACAACATCCAGAGCATAATGGGTCAACAACCAATATGCGTTCACTATTAACCATCCATCATCGAATTATTACATGAGCCATACATGCAGTTCGAATTGATTACTTCATCGTGCATCCTGTGGCACAGGTGAGAGAGGTTTGCGTAGTATGAGGCTGATTAGATACGGAAGATGTGTCACCACTACCACACATCCATGCAGAACATAAAACAATATCGTGTATTTTAGTACCCGACTTGTTTGGCACAAAATATGTAGGTTAGTGAACAATCTTGTTTTATTTCTCGGCCCCAAAAATGTACAATTACCGCAACAATCGGCAACGGAGAAAAAGCTTGAGTCAAAATTGGGGTTCATCTTTCTTGAGAACTAAAATTTCCAGAGAACAGTATCTACTTGAAGTAATACAATCGTGTCTATTCAACACTAAACACATTCATTATTATACACATGTAATTATACAATATCAGAAATAAGTACTCTGCATTTTTTTAGAAACGGACCTTAAAGGACATTCAATATTGGGAATGGCTTTTTATTGTCATTTCACTTTTTTCTGTATTAATCAACCTAGGAGTAAATATTTACCAGGTTAGAAAAATTAAAATAAATAGGGAGTCAAATGATTTGCTGTTGTTCAACACTAGCAAATCATCATCTCATTCTGAAAATCTATTACCAGCTCACGATGGCACTGATCAACCAGGAACGCTACTTATTCCCAGTTCTTTGCATGGTTTTTAATTGTAGGTATCATCAACTCAATTTATAAAATTAATTTGTTATTGCATATTATTGATCCTCTATTTTCAGTGTTTGCCATTTACTTTACATTCGTTGGAGCGTTGAAGGAACTTCCATTTCAAATTTTGATGCAACTTGTTACAAAAATCATAATTTGGATTTTTAACTTGATATACTTTCTTACGCCAAAGGATAAAGAATATCAAGAGGATGAAACTGAAAATGAAGTGAAAGCTGTATGGAGCGAAATTAGAAGCACTTTCACAACTTTTATTGATTCCATTTTCGTTATATGTAGATCCGATTCTACGTCTCATCTTCCCTCCTATTTCTCACAGTTTGTGTTGGAGGATTTGTCTTTTATCAATATTGGACTTCCAACTTGTCCTTGTTTAAAACGGTTGGGACAGAACCAAAATACGTTAACATGTGCCGAAAGCTTCATCTTGGTCAGAGTCTCATCATTTTGGACGTGGAAATCACATTTGTGGCAGTTCTTTTAGCAGCTAGTTCAGGATTATCAACAAATGACCTTTTCGCATTGATAGTATTGCCTGTCGGAGTTCTCCTAGTTGTGATTTGGGCATGCATTGGCTTTTTTGCGGTAACGTCCAGTTAATATTATTTTTCTTGAAGAAGAATTTTATTAATGGTAGAAATTCATTATCTATTTCAATGTGGATTTATGTAGATGAAGAAGGAAAGCAGAATGTTGACATACACATTTTACATTCTGAGCCACTTGCAACCAGTGTATGTTATCTATCTCCTTGTGAGATCACCAAAGGTATGTGCTCGAGACGATGAAATCGAAAAGTCAAAGAGTAATTAATGATACTAGTGGAAAAATGTGGTTTATAGAGTTCTGTAGGTGGCTTATTATTCAACTCCATTATTGTAGTAGCTGGACTATTCTTCATTATTCATGTCATTTTATTGGTGACCGTCGTCAAAATTCAATTTAATTACGATAAAGGGTTAAAACAAGCAGGTGAGAATGGGATATATATATTTTTTTACTTCATATAATTAATAGTTAATTGTATTAAATTGTACTTGTAGCCGAGAAGGAAATAGCAAGAACAAAATCTTTGGCACAATCACTGAATGTCAGCACAGAGTTTATTGACAGACCCAGTGTTCCTAGACATACAGAGATTTGAATTTTATACAATTTCGATAATTAAATAAGCATTTAAAGCTAAAACACATGTGGTGATTATTTACCTATTTTAGAATTTAGTTTAATGTAAATCCTGTTTTTAAGAAACCATTTACATGCGTACTTATAAAATATGCAAATTAACAATTTAGTGACAATCCCAGTGTTTTGAAGATAATGAAATATAAAAGTAAAATTTAAGCTGGGGTGACTCTTTTGAAAATTTGGGTAGTGGAAACATTGTCCGCAATCAATGTCATCCGGAGTTTGTCACCATCAAACTTTTCTTTCACAACAATTACATTCGGTCCTTCCTCACAGGTCTGGTGCAGCACGATCTTATCATCGGCGAATATTTCTCCCATGGTCTAACAAAAAGTTAAATTTCCAAGTCAGGTTTCAAATAAATGTAAAAATAAAGATTTAGGTCCACATATTACTGTGCACTTTCGAGCATCAAACGTCTCATCCTCCACTTTTTGTCCGACTTTGAAGCGAAAAGTTGTTGTCTTAAATGTAGTAGCAGTTTTGATACACCATTCATCCGTGTCAGGAGCGTACAGGATTTCCAACTTTGGTCTGGCTGTCGTTAGGACCTATAAAACAAACATTTTGATCTAATTATACTCGGATTTGTAAATTGATGACGTCGCCAAACATGTGTATATAACTCACTTTTCTTAACACGAGGCCCACCCCGAGACTCTTGAGGTAATCATTATCATCCTTCACATCCGATTGGTCGAATTCGTACTTTCCAACAATACTCACCATTTTTCCACCTCACGAACTTTGTTATACTTTCTGGGCCTGCAGGACTCCGTACTTTTTAGATGATTATTTTTAATTATTTTTGGACCACCTGAGCATTTCCCGATTGCTTTGATATTAGTTTCCAGGTTCTCCCTTTTAGGGTCATAAAGTGTCAAATGATTTCGTCTGACAACCTGTTGTCATGAAAACATATACCTAAATATGTTTTCATTACATAAAATAACCATCAGACAAATGCAACAAGCCCTTGGTAAAATGTGTATGTAAATGTTGTAAATTCTTAAGTAAATATTTTAAATTTTTTACCATCAGTATAAAATTAACGTACCACAATTTATCATTATACAAATTATGGATTATAAAGTTTTAAATAAACACAATGTCATAAAATGCATGGTAGTTTTAAAAATACAAAATTTCGTTAAGCTTTTCTCCTTTTGGGGGGTTCCCAAAATTGACGCTCCATTGCCACGCTGAACTGTAATACTGACCATGAGTCGCTCGAGGAGGAAAGTTGTGGAGTGTCATTTTCCAATCGTGGTAGCGACATTTACATTCGTTTGGCGATTCAACGTGGAAACGCATTGATCGTGGGAGCTGTTCCTATGATTCAGATAATTTTATATTTTTAGTGATAAGGCACTTTATTTACAAGAATCGTGTATGGGGGCCGAATATGGCGAGATATATTTATATAATATTTCTCGGACGTCTACCCGGACCAAGTAGGCCAATATCGGGTATTTCCTCTACTCCCCAACTTTTATTTGTATTTGTATGTGTCTTTTATTTTATTTGTATGTTGTAATTTGTTAGAATTATATGCATTTCTATAACCCAGAACAAAGTTATTTGTGCAGTCTTTTTCATATCATTTAGCACATTTATGTACATTTGTGGAGAGAGTGGAGATTGATTGATTGATCATGTGCTGAGTTAAAAATCCACGTGCATAATTAGACATTCATAATTGTAGTTAACACTGACTAATGCTTTCCTAATATTCGAATTATATTCCACCACCTGTTCCTTGTCAATCACTTGTAATTATTCTATAATTTTCCAGAATCACTAAACACAATTTTGGCCACCATGCAGCAAAATGTACATACATCTTGTACACTAAAAGATCAATTACGCAAGGGCTTTTTGCAATGTAAGCATGATATGCGACCTGCATCAATGTGTGCAAGTACTGGAGGGCCTACTCTCGCTAGTATCAATTCCGGGTTTAATTATTTAATAACAGTCAATACTACACGATAACCTTTCCACCACCTCATCATTGCAATAAATGGTCTAATAAGCTGCAGAAAATAGACTACCCAAATTAAGATGTTGTGCACATGGTCAATTCAATACACAGTCTGCACTGTGGCATATGAGGCATATGATCTACCCATCCAGATAATACGGTCCAGCGTTATTTATTACCTATGAATATCTCACGTTCACAGAAAGAAAGGAGTAAGATGCCATAATGCAATCTTGGTAATCGTAGTAGTTCTAGTTGATGCTAACGAGATACATCTTATCGTCTTTGGTCCAAAGTTATTATCACCCACCAGTTTGAGCTACTACTTTATGTATCAACTAGTCAGGTATAAACTCTGTAAAATACAACACTGCTACACGCTATTGATTTTTATTTATTTCGCCAACAACTTTGTACAGAAACTTTTATCAACTTTTCTACTTTATTGCTTTCTTGATGATCAGGTCAATTTATAAAAGTCGACCAAGAGGTTACTTCAGAATGACGTGAAATTGTTTAGTTGTTTTCCACCGAAAATTCCTTTCCTGCAAACTGACAAGCATGTGTTGCACTAATTGTGGCGTGGCAAAAATAAGTAAACAGAATTTTGAAAAAGAAAGTGATTAATATTAACAAAGAAGCCGGTGTTGGCGAGGAATAATACATTTCAGAGCGCATCACAAAAAAGCAATCTGCCCACTACGAGTTCATACAGTACGAACACCATAAACCATATATATTTCAACCCGAGTGCAAGCAACTCTGACCATGAGTCCGACCATGGACACTCTTGAGGAAGGATTACAATGCAGGAGTGCCATTGTGTAAGTGAAAGCAAATATTATCTTAAAACCATACTCACGAACGATTGTCCTTATCCTCACGTCTCCGATTGATTTAATAATAACGATACCCGGCACGTTACAAAACTGCCGTCGATAATAGTGATGAGCTTAAAGGATTCTGTGCGACATGTTTCAAATATTAAAGTTGGCTATTATTAGTATGGAAAACTATGAATCATTTCAGTGCCACCACTAAACCACCTCTTTTGACATTGAACCCTGGGAACCAAACAGTTGGAGATTGTCGTCTCTTGTCCGTCACCAGACTTGCAGCGGATCACTCCGTGCAGCAAGTTCCAAACTCTTTTTCGAAGTCTTGGCCAGTTAACAGGACCAAGTTCCTCGTGCGTAATGCAAGAAAATTGGGGACGACATCACTGCCAAGCATGACGCTCCATTTGAGTCAGAATAATAATAGTTCCGATAAGTGCATTTCGAGTCTTAGCAAGCCCACCAATTCGTCTCCACTTTCTCCTCTGCCATCACCCTTGCAGTCGAATATTACTGGTCATGATGCCATTGTAATAAATACCGCTCCCAGTAACAAACTACACCCTTTTAACGATAATCATCCTTGGCTTGATCTGAAAAGGACCAAGCTGTTCCTGGAGAAAAAGTTTCCCCTTGCAGTGAAATATATTTTGACGTATCCTCTCGTCGTTATATGTTTGTGGGCTCTACTTTATATATTTTGGGGAAAGCTGGCCTTCCCCGAGAGTGGGTCATTGTTTGCCTTGCTAGCATTGGAAGTTTCTGCAATTTTCCTAGGTGAGTGAAAATCGGTGAATATGCTAACGGATTAGGCACCAATTACGCAAGTAAGGTATGTACATAAACACTGCTTGTTATCAGTATGCAATTATCCTAGGTCATGTTGCCTCTTTGCTGGATTTTCCTCCACTTCTGGGAATGTTTTGTGCTGGGTTACTTTTGAGAAATGTACCCAGAATAAATGTTGCAAAGAATTTGAGTCTGGAGATTTCTTCTCCTTTAAGGTGCCTGCAAATTAAAATAATTAATTTTTGTGGAGAGATCTATTGAATGGGATTAAGTTAATTAGCTGCATTTTTTAGAGGAATTTCAGTTGTGATCCTTTTGACGAGAGGGGCGTTCGGGGTCAATATGATCAACATTCGCAAGTTCAGAAATGTGGTTCCTTCTCTTGCAATCGGAAGTTGCATTATCGAAGCGGTGTTTGCGGGTTTATCCGTATTCTATATTCTTGGATTTTCTCCTGCCTGGGCTGCATTGATGGGGTAACTAATATGAATAATTCTCTAAATACTATACTTAACCTGGAAACTTTCCACAGTTGCATAATGTCCGCAATGTCCGGGGCAGCTGTCATGCCATATTTGCTTGCGATAGAATCTAAAGTTATGAACGATCAGGCTGGGACAAGTCTTCCTAAAGCAAAAGAAGTGTTACTAATTGCAAAAACTGCTTGCGGTCTCGACGCTGTAATTTTAAATCGTCATCTTCATCCATGTTGAATTACACATTTATTACAAGGATATTTACACGATTTTATGTGTCATCTCAAATTTATAGATTTTGGCCATTTGTATGGCGGAATGTGCGCTGGGCTTCATTTTTGGAAACGGTTGAATAATATCATTTAATTTATCAATTAATTTTTTCATGACAAGTATTATTCAATTTCTAGAGGAAATGGAAGCTGGACTTGTCAAAGGATTAGCAGAAGTGACATTAGGAGGGGTTTTTGGGATTTTCTGGGGAGGTCTAAGTGGCGTTTTACTAGCTCATGTGAGTGTTTAGTAGTTAATAATTAGTGAAAAATTAGAACCTTGTCGATTGTTTTTCAGGAGAACGATCCAGATATAAAAACAATCGCCGTTTTTTCCGGAGGTATGTCTTGTGACTAATGTTAATTAACAACTATGCATTACAAGCAAAGGAATGTTTAGAAATCGTGACTGTTTATAATTAATTCTACAAAAGAACATGTTACATGCTTGTTTTGATCCGAGTCTAAATCTGTCTTCACCACCATCCGCAATTTTCCTGCAATCAATGATGAGATCCAAATCTTTTAGGGTTGTCCACAAAAGACCAGTCTCTTAAATTTTCGAAACATCATTCACAATTGTGATCGAATATATGAACAAACCCTTTTTCTTACCGGCGAATACTGTATTTAATTTAAGTTTTGCACACAAAATTCTTTATGAATTTATTTCGCACAAGTGGTACCCAGTGGGTACACAGTGGGCCACACGGAATTAAAAATTACACCACAGATTATAACAAAATTGCACTATAAAAATTACGACAGCTGGTTGGTCATTTTGCATGGAACTCTAAATAACTGGAATATAAAAATATCCTTACATGATGAGAAGAAAAATTCCTTATTATTCAGGGGTCATGTCCCTTATTGGGCTATCCAAAATTGGATACCCAAGGGGAGGGCCACTGGGGACCTTTCTTGGCGCTTTCGTTGCGGTGACCATTTGGAAGAAGAAAAGTGACCTCACTAATGTAAGTGAGTGCATTAATAGGTACGCAATATAAGTAGTTAAGTATCCACTAACTAACCATACATAAACGATCCTCGTTAGCTTACCTGCGCATATGACAAGTTGTGGTTTATATTTCAACCCTTACTGTTTGGAATCATCGGAGCTAGGACAGACTTCGAAATTTTTGATTGGACTGTGATTTACAAAGGCGTTGGGTGTCTCCTAATTAGCACAGTGGTAATTGTCTTAATTATGTGTTTAAACTTGAATCGCTGGTAGTATAATTTGCATAATAATGTTTGACAGGTGCGAATTTTTGCATCATATTTAATGACGAGTTGGGTGGACATTTCTTTCCGGTGCATAACACACACTTTATCATTGCAACGAGAGTGTACTTTTAAATTTGTAACTTTTAATAACGTTTAACTTTTTTCAGGGAAAGAATTTTTCTGGTGCTCGCTTGGACAGGGAAGGGAACGGTTCAAGCAGCGTTAGGTAGGTCACACCGATCATGTATTTGGAAATGCTTGCGCCAGAGCTGCATACATAACTGCAAATGATATTTGGGGTCGGTAACCTCCCCATGGCTCATGGGTGTGGTTAAACATCTAATATGTAATTCTAGCATCCAATTTCAGATGCATTTATCGTTGGAAAGCCACATTCGTCTGTTTGTCAAATAATGATGCTCACATGTTGCATAATCAACGTTTCTTAACGTAGGTCCTGTGGCGCTGGACACGGCAATCGATTTGGGCCTTGAAAACGAGCAACTATTAGCACAACAAATTATGAACATTGCCGCCATGATAATACTGCTTTCTTCGTTTTCTGGGTTTCTAGCTTTAAAATTCTTCGGACATTCGATGCTAACAAGATGATACTCACCTTTCAATCGTATATAATTTCCGCAAGAGGCCGAAGTGGATATACATAATTATAAAAGTATATGCCTTGTTTTTAAATAAAACCCATTAATGAATAAACAGCAGACGTACAAAACATCGAGTAATGAACGATTGGTTTTTATTTCCGCTTCAGACCTTTATAATGTTTGTGTCTGAATTATATTATATTTGACATCATACAATTCATAAACTGTCGCATTAACATAACTTAAAGGTAGTATTCAGTATAGTAATCCTCAATTAGTTTTATTAATGTGATTTGTACCTAATATAACAAATTTTCTTTTCGATCAGGTTCTATCATCATCATTCGTCACGACATTTGCCAGCTAATATCGTTCTTGAACCACTGTTGCAACGTAGTTTGTTTTATTTTTGCTGTACAAATCACCAACGACTTGCCAGTACCTTTGTATTTTACGCTACATCAACCGTTGTAACAGTGGTTTCAGATATAATTTGTAGTATAGTCATCCTTTAACCGTCGTTTCCCATTCATGCATACAACATTTCTTTCAGAGGGATATTTTTGTAAATTAATACAATATTCTTGAAATTCCAAGTGCTTGCTCTTCAAGAGTTAAGTAAAGATTAGTCATTTCTTGAACATTTTTAAATATACTGCGAGTTGAACGACCAACTGCATTCGACTATGAACACAAAATATGTTCTGTCCATCAATATAGCAAAAGTAAGTAAAACTAAAAGTCGGGAAGAAGGATATTAAATGTCCAATACATAATGTCTAGACATAATTGCTGCTGTGCAATTAGGCGTGAATTTAGAAGGAAAACAATCTTGCGTCTGTAATGTGGATAAGCCAAGTGGACAAGAATTAAGAATTAAGAAATCTAGGATAACAAAAACCACTTGTTGAAGAAGTGGTCACCTTGTCATCACCAAACTTACAGCATTACAGTAGATCCTTAGTGAAAACTCGACGCTACATACACCCATCATCATACCCCCTGTAGTTCAGGTTGCAAAAATATCGGTCAGTTAAACCGCATAGTTGAGCTTGAGCTTCCATATAGATTTTATAATAAGTTTTAGGATTGTAGGATGCATTATACTTCGGGTTATGTAGTCATTTACATAATTACAATACTAACGAATCCCCCGATCCGTGATTTTTAAATACACACGCACAACTACATTAATACATATATTTACTTAACATAGGTTGGTTGAGTTTGTCAGTTTATTGTAAACCTATCATGAATGAACTGTTACATAATTTTGGCCAGAAATAGATAGTTTTGTTTCAGCTGCTGCTAGTTTGAGGATCTTATGCAATTTCCATGTGATTCCATTTGTGCTGCCGTAAAAGTTTGTTCTATGATAGTGGATAACTACATATGTGTAATAATAAAGGGACCTGAAGCAGTTCGCTACATCACATGCTACATTTTACATTCTTAAATACATGGTGACATAAGTTGACGTAAGTGCAAGATTGCAATCTTGGCCATGGTTGTATTGTAGTAGTTGTCGTAGTAGAAGTAGTAATAATAATGAGTATAAAATTTTGCCGAAATTTTAAAAAGAATTTTTTATTCTTGTGTTGTCTTATGATTATTATAATGTGTCTGCACAATATTTTCATTACTTATGCATATTTATATATAGACTGCCTGACCTGATTATTATCCTTAGTTAACAATAATTAAGGTATATGAAGATGATTCTGACTTGAGTTATGATTATAGTACACAGCACAACTTCTGATGAGTGAGTAAGCAATTCTACAATTCCCCCGGTGGGAATTGAGGATTGATACATATTATTATATTTTCCTTTCCTATCGTATCGTCGACTTATCGCAATTTATTTGTAATTTAGGTTAATATTTAGATATTCTATCTCCTCTTACAGCTTTTTTAACTAAGCACGACAAGGTATTCCATTTGGAAGAATGGAAGAACAACCAATATTTTTAGACCCACGATTCACTTATGTGTAGTTCTTTCTTATGTGTAACGTGTTTCAACCAAGAAGCTCATGGTTACGAAACAAGAAAACTTTTAAAGCACTGCTGCAACTAAAAATTAACTTGTACTCAATCATAGGGAACAGAACGAGAAAATCGATTCCGTCAAGATATATATTGTTATGTGTGCGTTTTTGAATGACATTCTAACTTCTACACTTTTTGTCCACGATGTACTTGATATTATTGTTACCCAAAAACAAGAGAAAAGTTGTACGGTTAAAAGCAACTTGAAATATAGTAACATTTTAAAACGACTTTTGGCGATAAGCTGTTTCCACTTATTTAGTTGAGTTCTTTGAATACTGGGCTATAACCTATACATTGTTTAGGTTTCATCTTATTATACATTTAAATAAGTATGTAATGGCAGTTTCATTGTGATTAATTGACCTGAGAACCAACTCGGACAGACTGACCGGGTGTAAAAAAAATGGAGCAATGCAAATTGGCATTCCAATTTTGAGTATGTGATGCATAATTAACACTAGCACACAAGAATGCACCACTTATTTTGAAGTAATCAAATACCTTGTTCTGATTAGAGATAGAACATTTGCATACATACATAATTAGGGACAACGTTTTGAGTATATTGAAGAAAATCTATGTAGTAAATACGCCGATATAAATATTTGTCCTCTAGCCTTTGTTTCTTCCAGAGAATTGCACTGCACAACTCAAACCTTCGTGTGTGGCATTTCATCAGGTAACACACTTATTTGACTCGGATAAAGCTTTTTCATGCATATTTATGTATGTACGTAGGTGGTTGGTTGGTTATTCCAATTATTTATGGATGTCATCACTCACTGCGGTGTTGACTGTTTTGCATAGTATTGTGGTATTGACTAATAATGATAATATTTAATTAAAGTGAAGAATATAAATTTGATACTACTGCACTAATTTATTTATTATGTATGTTATTGATGATGGAATCAAGTAAATTAATAGTCTCTAACAGCTATGTATAGCATTTTGGAGAAAATCAGGCAGAAATTGTAGCACCAGTTGTTTATAACTATGTAGAATAAAACACAACTATTCGAGTATTTGCTAAGTCAAAGATTATTGAGTATGAAGTTGCTACTTATTAGTCGAAATTTCACAAAAAATTACCCTCCGTCAAACAACAACACAACCATCCTTCAGATTCTGGAGATGTTATTATGACTAACACACGATATCAGGAAAAGCCAATCTCTAGTTCGCAAAACTTGGCGAGCCACAAAACTTCAGAGATTTAATTTGAAGTTGAGAATGATTATTTCTGCACTGACATTATAGTTCCGCACATTAAAGTTATTCTCCATTTCGACAAACTGACCAGCAGTTTGTTGCAGCAGTTTTAGTTGCACTTTGAGAAAATGGCAAATTATTAAACTTAATAGTATTGAGATCATTGCTCAAGATATTGATTTTTGTTAACATGACTTGTGCCATAATTACTAAAAACTGGATACCAATACTGAAACGTCTCCATAAGCCCCGAATAATGTATATCCTCACGAATGCATAACCTTTAGAGGTGATAATAATGAATTTACAACAGTCTTAAGAAATATGTCGTCTATTTATGAAAACATTGGTTTGACTATTTTAGATAACATAGGTCGCGTATGTATTTAAGTAAAGAATGAGCGTTGGGACGACAACGGATGACGCGTTGCTCTGTGGAATGTTATATAAGTTACAATCATTATTGAATTTGGCAAATTTAATTGATCAAAGGTTTCATTTGGTTCTAATATATATGTTGTGTATGCATATACGTATAATAGTGTGAGACGACTCTTGGGGATCAAAAGTTATTAGTACGTGTACATAGAGTTGGCACAATAAGTATGCATCTGTGTGTACGACACAAATGACAAACTAAACCACACATCGTCATGATTCGATAAAAGAAAGAAGGTGGCGCTTTGGAATTAAGGATTCGAAATACCGATAGTAGTGGCAATTACAATATGGATAATACACACAGGAAGTGATATAAAATTTTCAGCCAACCCATTCTAATCATTATGTAAGGTAACATGTCGACTGCAATGCCAAATATTATCCTCAATATAGTAGCATATCCGTCCACGACGACACACAATTATGGTACATACATATATATTCAGATATACATGCGTCTGTTAGTGCTTGTTAGTGCTGGAATACAAAGGATACACTAGCTATCTTGTAGAGGTAACTTATTTGCGAATAGTCGAAGGACCGTTACAACCGCATGTCTTCACAATCATCGTCAATAACTCTTCTTGAGGGGTCCCCACTTCCCCCACCACCTCCTCCGCTGGTTGAGCTGGCGGAGATGGTGGCAAGTTGTTGCGTTGATCCCCCCGGAGCATCTGGGTAGTTTGGATGTTCAGATATTGCATAAAAATTTCCGTTGTAAATTACACCAAGTTCACGTAGAAATTCTCCCTGCAACAACAAAATCAAATATATTCACCTGGAAAATGGTAACTTTTAATAAAACTTTCATCTGAAAGCACGTCGGGCATAATGTGGATTTATTTTTTCTCTCAAATCAGCACAAATTTATGTCTAGTCGAAGAATTATAGTCCATTAATTAGTTGTATTCCTGGGTTTAAACATGAGTAGCAACAGTGATAATGAAAAGGTTCCAGAAAATGGTCCAAATATTCAGAAAAAGTCAGAACCACTGGAAGGAAGTACAAATGGGAGTTGGCCCAGATTATAAACCTGGTATTTTTTGCTATGCACTTTTCCGTAGGCCGCGGAACCGTTGGGACGTTAAAAACATTATCCCATACAAATTTCGAAACCTTCTACCCCTTCAATTTTCATAAACCCCTCCCACTCCTATCTTCCATGTTATGGTCCCTACATGTCTTTACTGCTTTCGCTAACCTATGTACTTTTCCTTTGTTAAACCCATAAAACAAAAGGTTCGCGCACCTTCAAAGCAGGCAGAGAAAGACTGATATTCAACTCCATACATATATAATTATTCGTTTTCGAATTTAGGTTAGCCTCTGTGATTTTACAATACAATTTGTGCTTTGCTATTTGCCTTTGCTAGTTTACTGTATCAATTTTTGTCCTTTCCAAATGCAGTTTTTATCCTTTTAAATTATATAGTAAAAATGCAAACAAACCTTAATTGTGGCTTTGATTGTCCAATTCTGTAAAAGGCAAATACATTTTTATACAAGGATGGATAAAAATGTGAACAGAGCTGCAAGTGACAGCACATGTATACCACACGAGTATGTATATGTGTGTGGCACATATTGTGGGCTAATGTGTACAAATGAGCTTACGTAACAGTCCTCCGCCTCGGTCTCACGATCCAGTCGTTCAACGTCTACTATTTTAGATGATAACCTAAAGATGATTGAAAATGTTTTTTAGACCAAAAATTCTCATTCTTTCCAATCCTTTATGTTCATACATGAAAATGTATCAATATTATTTTTCTTAACAGTTTTCATCATATTTATCAGTCACGGTAATATTAGTAACCGTTCATCCATAACTTACCGTTCAAGAATCACTCCAATGTCCTTGATGGAAAGGTGTCTTTTTTGATCTAGTGAGAGCTGATCTATGAGAAGAAGGAACTTTTGCGTCGTGACTTTCTCCTCTTCGAGCACTGAGTGATTATTTTCCGTCTCTGACTCTGAACTTGTCGTTGTCCCTTCGACGTCGTCCGAAGGGATCATTGAGCCTCCTAGCGTACTTACCGATAATGGAACACTGAGTAAACTGCTTGGCACTATGTTTTTACCCCCGGCTGCGGCTAGAAAGCGACCATTCTTGTCATCCCCAACTCCCATGAATCTTACATGTAAGGACTTGGAAGAAGCTGCCCCTCCTCGTCCAGACCCGTCCAAGCTGGTGTCTTGTATGGGAGACGTGGCTACAGCCTTGTGCACCTTTCAACCCGAAAAAAACAACACAAGTTTACAAGGATTTTACAGTCAAAATTCATTCCCAGAGACGCAAAAATGTTGCACTAGTACTAAGAAAAAACTACTACTAGCCATACGTCTTGTTCTTATTTTCAATGAGTGCGGTAGTTATTACTAACTTAAATTACTAGTAAAATACATGGATATTTGCCAGCACTACGTACTTTTATGGTAAAAATAATGATTATCTGTTAGTTACAGAATAAGGTGCTTGTAGACGGTAGATAGTAGCGGGATAGGGTTTAGAGTGGTGGTGGTGGTGGTGAAAGGCAACAATACACGAATATAGGAGGAACAATGGGAGGACGCTATATTTATGTACATATGTAGTAGTAGCGAAACATACCTGTTCTCACTCTCAAGTTTTTTGCGTGTATAAATTAATCAGCATTTTAGAGACTCTAGTCACACCTCCGTCTCCCTCTTTCCCTGACTTGTCGACTGTTGAGATTTGGGTTTTGCTTTCGCTTTCACTTTGGGTGTTCGACAGGTATGCTCCGCCACCACGGGAGGAAGACCGTCTACCGTCTACAACAAAAAGGACACCGCTACAAACAAATTTCTCCAAGCATCTTGTCCTCCAGACACAACCGCACGGCTAAGAATTACCTAACACACGAATTATCCTTTTCGTATGGAAGTAGTAGCAATGCAGTTCCGAGGAACCCAATATTTCCTCCTTTGTTCTTGTTGGAGGGTATGTACATAAAATTTGTTTCCCTAGCTGAACGACTGTGGCAGAATATTAATGCTCACAAAGAGAAAGCGACGACCAATTTACACTAAATATTTATTATTTGAACTTTTGGCAGTTGTTACAAAAAGATCAATTTTTGTTTTGTTCGCTACACGCAGAAACTAAAAGCAAAAATCATGAAAGCATGAAAGGTGTCTCAAAATGATAATTTGATATAAAAGTGTAAAATGAGTGGAAAGAATCTTTGCAAAAGAATTGTTCGCTCTGAGTTGATCTAGTATGCGTAGTATTTTAGTGCAAAAAGTGGTGAGTGAAAGCAGCATTAAAGTTGAAGTTTTTTTGTGTCGGGAAAGAAAAAGTGGTGGAGAAAGAAAAAGTCAGATGAAGACTTTTATATAAGTGAGTGAGTACATACATGAACAGATTGGGTTAGTTCATATACAATTCTGTGTTGATGTGTAGCGAGATATCTGTCTAGTTACCGAGCGGTGAAGGCATTGAAATGGGGATCGCATAGTAATGAAAGCATAACCTTTCAGACTATTCTCCATACATTTCCTTTCATCGCCTTTCACGCCAATCACAGACGAGGGAAAGCGCAAAAAAGTATACAAAGTTATGTTTTTATTGCCCAACATCTTATCCCCATTTTTTAATCTTTGACGTGTTAAAAATCATCATGTTCAAACTTTATCTACAAAAATAATAAACTTGATGTTGGAATATTTCATTAAAATTGACAAGTGAAAAGTTACGAGTAGAAGCCCTATGCGTGTGTACATATTATTCCATGGTGGTCCATAGATCTGTGTGTAGTCGGGACATGGTTAAGGTGTATATGGCTCGAAAGAAAGAAGAAAGGGCCGACCCTTGGATTGAATAAGTAAGTCGGATATTAGCTGGCTCTAGTGGTTGGTTGGTGGGTGGGAGGGTGGTTGAGCCATGGATGGGAGAAAGCTGAGATAGCAATGGAACTGAGTTTTCCCTTGCTGGTTGACTCAAAAATTGGGTCAACGTGACACGTGCTTTTGATACACCAGCACCACCACCATTGCTCTCTTCTCCTCCCACCCAGTGCTTTCTCCACTCTCTCCTCCGTCCTTGTGCCCCTGTCTGCCTTTCACTAGCATGAGCCCACCAACCAACAATCCATTTCTTCTCTACAGCCAGTGAAAACACTTATTTCAAATGTTACAACAACCATGAAGGCGGCTCCTCCAGCCGTTCTATTGTAAACTGCATAATACATATGAAATGGCAGCCCAGCACCTGAAACTGCCAGTTCTACTACGTACATACACGCACTCAACTCTGCTGCTCCCTTGTTGTTTACGACTTTCTCTGCACCTTTTGTTTCTCTGAAACTCTTTCGACCTATTCCTACCATTCCATTCCAAGGATTGTTTCCGGTCTGTTGCCAAATTGAGCTAAAGTATGTAAGGATAGTCCGAAATTGATGTTTGTGGTGACCTCATATGGTCATTTGGGTTACACTTTGGTGTATTTCGCAGCAACCATCCTGCATGTCAGTCTATGCATGGAGGGAAAATACTGTTGTTCGTGATCAAGGAAGAGGAGAATGTGATAGTGGAACACAAGACAGAATTTGTGCATGAGTCAGGTGATGAAAAATGTAGAGATGAAGCCATGTTTTTTTAAAAGACTGAGTTCTGTTTCATATAGAAATGTACATATGCAGTGGAGGAGTAAGGAAGGAATGCACAGAAAGTGGTTTACCTGTATTTTGCGCCCCTCCTCGTGTAGGGCACAGCAGTGGAAGTCACAGTAGGAAGGTTCTGGCGGGCTGCCTCGTCCTCCCTGGCCGTGCGGAGGATGTTGAGGAACGTGGCCCCTCTGTGAACACTCGACCGTGTGGACGTGGACTGGGGCAGTGACACCCCCACTGCCACTCTCCAGCGAGGAACTGCCCTGTCGTGGCAGCCCCCTCTGCGTGTACTGGTAGGAGTGGGGGTGGGAGGAGGAGGAGGCAAAGTGCTGTCCATGGGGTGGCAGTGGTGGAGGAAGAACACTTGACCTAGTACTGATCCGTGGAACCGAATCGTACGGCGGCTCTGAATTTATCACAGTAATCGTGGGGGGTTTAGAACCATAGTCGTTTATTACTGATTCGTATTTTCCATCTTTTGTTATCATCGTCCGGATGCCTGACCTGGCCTCGCCCCCAGGAGGCCCATACACACCGCCCCTCACTCCTCCGAAACCTGTTGACCAACAAGGCAGCCAGTGTCACAAAAATAATTCCATAGGGCCGTGTTATTTTGATGGAGGGCATTACAAAACAAGGGTGATCTGAACTATTTGGAGAGAGTAAATATGCACAGTCTAGCTGTAAGTATGTAGCTGCTCACAATAGACAATATAAATACGAGTATGGAGGCAGGACTTATACGATTAGGAATTATAAAAGTAAGCAATCTCATTTTAAGTACTCTGCATGGTGAAATATTATGTGAAACTTGGAATGTTGGAAAATAATCCATTTTGACGATGAAATACCTACAAAAGTATGAGATCATGGGGCAATCTGGAAGGATCTAATCACTCAAAGGGTTTGATAGCATTCACCCGGAATTCAAAGAATGAATATTGATTTCGAAATGGGTTTACCTCCCAAGGATTCCAATAATAAAGAGCGATAAGGATTGGAAAGTTTGAGCGCTTGAAAAATACATAAGCTGATCTCGTTTTTCAACTGTCCTATTCACACAGTATACTGGATGCTAAATATCTACACACGCTAACTCCACGACTACGCAATGCTCAGCTCACAAGATGTATAAAGCAACAACTAGCTCAGACAGTAATAGATGGAGACGTAGATATGTGCATACATTAGTTTATGCTATGCATGTAGTTGGCTCAAGACTACTTTCACTACACCGCACATTCTCCTCATTATGCGTGGCGACACAAATTATAGGTTGGTTATGGTAACTGATCTGCTGGGTTGGGGAAAGTTGCTCTGGCTGTCTCGGGACTGAACGAGTCTATTGAAAAGTTGTCACACGAGTCTCATGATTGATTGATTACATTCTCAACCTCTTTGTTAATGGGGGCTCTTCTGTTTCTTGTGTGAAACCCATAGCACATACGAACCCATAGCGTGACACCTTTCTTAAAAAAAGTTATTTCATTACCCGCCTGTTGTCAAATAACTTTTTTTTCATGGAGATATACATTCGGGAAAGGCAAGCCAACGAAAGGAAAACAAGTCTATTAAAGTCAGAGAGTGTGTACGAAGTAGAGAACATTTCTCCACAGCACGGTTCGCACCAAGTCGGTGAAGGTCCGTCCGTCAGATAAGTCCGTACTTTTTGCAACCAACATAACAGGAGAAGAAGTGAACTAAAGAGAGATGCGCAAGACACACACACAAGACAAGACAAGAGAGGGGCAAGAGTGGCCAGAGAGAGAGAGAGAGTGGAAAGCAGAACGGTGAAAGTGGGGAGAGTGAGTGAGTGAGTGAGTGAGTGAGTGAGTGAGCGACCGTACTTTGGGGTGGGAGGAAGACTGGCGAATGGTGACCCATGGCGACGTTGGTGGACTGGGGGGAGAGGGAGCAGGGGGAGATGCGACGAGCGAACGAGTCGTGTCGATGGGTCGTCTGGAGGTCGGGTGGGTGGCCGCCTGACCTGGCGGGAGGGTGGGGAGAGCCACAAGGGGGACAAGGGGCGTAGACCGGACGCTGGTTCCACGTGAGAACGATGGTGATGACCGATGACCCCTGTTCTCCTCTGCTCTCCATGATCTTCCACGACGGCACCTTTGCGTACACACACACAATTTGCTGTTAGAGAGAACGACAGGATTGATGATATTTTATATTCTTCACCTCATCCTGCAATTCCAATGAACTGATGGCCTCACAAACAATTCGTGGGATCGACGAGAGTGCTAAACATATAGAAGAAAATTCGTTTCTGTAATGTCGGCGTCATCCCTGGTCATTCGTGTCAACAACAATGTCGTCAACAACAACAATTCGAGCCACCATACTTTGTAGATACATGTGTACGTACACCCGTCGTCGTCGTCGTCGTCGTCTAACTAAAGTCGATTTCATATGTCATTGCATAATTGTGGGGACTCTAAAAAGTCATACAAATTGCTTGCATGCTTAAATCACGTTAATAAACGATACATCTCATAATGAACTACATACATACACACGTACGCAGTTTAATTCATTAGATACTCTTTGTCAAACGAAATATAAGTGCTTGAGGAGGACGGGGCAGGAGTACACTACATAAACGCAAACACGTGTATTTTATTAGATTTCATGTTTGAATTATTGCCACTAGAGAAATTCGACTACTAAATAAAAGTTTTATCCGTCCGCTTTACTACATTACAAATATTACAACATACGTACGGATAGTTGGGCAAAGTTTTGAGAAGTTGAGATAATTGGCAAAAAACGAATCTCTATGCATCAAAGTTTGAATTGAATGAATTCAGGAGAAAGTTTTTAAAATACATCCACACGGTTCAACGATTTTCTGTCACATGGATGGCTTACATGAACATTCAGTGAGGTAATTTAGTGTAACGTTCCACAATGTATAAGTAAATGATGCTTACTGAGAAAAGACAGATTCTGATAAAACGTATAAGTTGGGTGAGATGAGCTGTAAAATGGTGTTATTGTTGCCAGGAAATGTAAAGTGAGAATATAAAAGCGGCTCTTTTGTGTAGGCGGATGGATGGAGAAAGTACAAGAAATGAGAACGATTCTTTCCAAGAACTTTGTCCTTTATACAATTTAATACCGCGATACATGTGATTCTCAGATATGTTTTTTTTCTCCTTTATTTTCCGTTCAGAAGAAATTTTATATCTCAAGAGCTAAATTTTATTATTTTACATTTCAATAAGTTTCATGAAAATGCTTTATTGCTTTGCTCACTCTAATCAATGTTCATATGAACCCATTGATTAATTGAAACATATGAATTCGTTTCAATATGCGATACTTTGCGCATCACGTAAGTATTGAAATTTCCAGCATTTATTACTACTCTGAATATGTACATAACGTTAGATGAGTGCCACAGATTGGTCAGATATGCAATCTGGTGGATATTAGCTACATAAATGTACAGATATTTTCGTGAAAGGGATCAAGGGGGGATCTAAATAATTGTCTACTTGGGAAACTTCCTGCAATACGACATACTCCTCTCCGCCATTGAATGAAAAGGGATGAAGTTAATTAAAGTTTCGGGTATTCAATCAATTTCAAAAGACTCGTTGAGAGTTTGAAAGACGGAAAATGAGAAAGCAATTTAAAACTTTCTCGTATTCGCTGAGAACCTCTAATTTATTTTATGACTTGTCATATTATTGTTATAATTAGGGCGATATCTTGGTGCTCCACTCAATAAACTTTCTCCCTTCCACTTTCCACTCTCACAGAATCTGGCCATTACTAAGGTTTTTTTTAATCTAGTCGAATAAAATACGCATAATTCATTGATAGTAGCGCAATCATAATCAATGTCATAGTTGATACAAAAAAAGGCTAATTCAAGCGATAAATAATATAATAAACTGAATGATGGTGTGTTGTCGATATGCGCTGGCTGTGTCCCTCAGCATTGCATTCTTTGCTAACTTTGACTGATGGTTCCTGACTTGCACATATGCTAGTAAAATAGGCTCCCAGACTAAAGGTTAACCTAGATCCCCTATTATCGTGGTCTATGTATTAGAGGCATAATTGACGACTTTTGACGACGATGTAACGTGGTGGAGGGTGCGATGGAATTGATTTGTACATTTAATTTGAAGAGAAAGTTGCACATAAGCGTGCGTGGTTATGTACATACCTGCCCGGATGACGTCCACTCCTATCCAGATGCGTGAAATAAAAACGGCATCACATATTATTTGTGCAGCAACATGATCTTGTTTACACGGCATTGCCAGTAAAACGCAATTAAAACTTGTTTACAACAAATATTTGTGTAGAACTATTTTTGTGTCGATTGAATTGAATTTCTTTATCTTTTCAGATGGCTTAATTTTATGAAACTTGGATTTTGGTATTTATGATAGTGCGTATCAACATGACTAATGGTTTCTACGTCTCGAGGTAGATAAGTGAATATGATGCGCATTTACATACATGCAATATAGAAAAATCATAATGGAAGCTTACCCGCGGGACACCAGCGGTCACTGATTCGAAGAAGGAGGAAGACAGTGTTGTCTGTAATGGTGAATTTAAGTATCAGTATTTTCCATTCATTCCTAACTATTTTTGAAAATCATTTTCAAAAAAGATAAGTCCCATATGCAATAATTCCCAAAATAATTACTTGACCTACCTGGCAGTGATCTGAAGTATTCAGAGTCCTGCGGATTAAAAAGAAAATAAATCAATTAATTTTATTGACCTAATTCATATGTTTTTATCCGTTTTCAATTTATCACCACCAAATATTCAACCTGTTGTACACTTTGCATACAAATTACATTAGAATAAAATGACTTACATCGACTTGAGTGCCATCTAATAAAATATTCAAAATTATAGTTTTATGAATTTTCGATAAATTTTATATAAAAAAGTTGATATGTTTATGTAATGCTCACCGGTTTCAAGTACTGAAAACGCAACACATGAACACGTTAATATTTGTATACTTTTTCGAAAGGAGGTATTTTATAAAATTATTTAACTTACCGACTCGTACAGTCTCATGAACTCCAATTCCAAGTTTCTCTCGACCTGAACAAGAACGCGGACACGACAACAATATTCATAAGTTAAAATGTATTACAAACACTTTTATTGAAAATTAGATTAGATTTTGCTAAAATTATACCTCTGACGATAAGTTCTTCTAGCGATGCTAAAATAGTCATTGAAAGGATTCAATCATTAATTGATTTTTGAAACATTTCGTATAAATCAATCTTAACGTTACAATTTACTCTTTAACTTACCTACTACTAAAGCTTTTCTAGTTGCCCTTGAGCTATCCCAAACCTTGAAAGGTCGTCGTGTTCGAGATGTCTGAAAGTTTATGAAAAGTTGGTATCTGTTTAATCGTCACATATTTCTGAGGTGAGTAATTTATTTATATTTTTTTATGCAGATTCATTAGCAATGACGACACACAAACGATGCTGATAGTGGATGTTTCTAAATAAATTGCAAATGGATTTAGCCCACCGTTCTCGAATGTGTGGCGAGCGAGTCAGAATGCCAACAAAAGAGTCACATCATCATCATCATCATCATCATCACTCTTTTAACTATTGTGTAGCGAGGGCGGAAGAATACGCAATATAGGATTTTTGAAGCGAATCCTGACAGGATTAGCTTTTTGAGAGCACATAGTAATTCCACTTGCACCACTAGCTCAACTTAACTTGTGTGTGTGTATAAGGGAAGTTGGTATTTGCATTAGATACATAGATTTAGGTAGGATTTAACCAACTTGATTAGCACTAACAGTTCGGTGTGGCTACAATGGAGGAAATAAACTCAAGCGACGCTAAGGTCAGCTTGCTTAAGCTCATGGGTTCACAAACCCTGTGCAAACACATTCAAAGCCCAGCCAAATAAAGGCTCCATCCAGTCCACTACCATTGCTACTGATCTTCTGAAGCTCCTGCTGCTGCTGCTGGTGGAACGACAGCCCAAAAGCGTAGACACACATTTTGAGTGAAAGTTCCTCCACTCCTCTGCTTTCCTCGTGAGTGGCCCACTGCTGGCTCGAGCCAAGTGGAAATATATGGGACTTACACCTCGCAAAATCTTCAGCTTTCCCTCCACCACCCAAGTCATACAGCTAATGGATCAATAATTTTTTACAAGCCCATATATTCCGCCCTTAATGTTCCATTATCTCTCGCCACACAATGACACTCCGCTCATCATCTAACCAAACATAATCACATTCTCCAGAAAAATTAGCCTTATCTCGCCATCGAAATGTTGGGAACACAAATGTGTTTGGGTCACATACTTCATACTTGTATACACAAATTTTAAGTACCCAGATTGCAAAAAATATTATGATGCTTGTGATAAATATTGCCACCTATATAAATATGTACATATCTAGGTTGAAGGGTACATGATGCCACTCTAACTTTTTACATTCTACAGAATTCTCTTCATTTTTTTAATGCCTATCAATTCTATTTCTTGAAGAAAAAGAAACATGTAGTTTTTAATAAATCCTCTTGTCTTGACGATTGCATATCGACTAACTATGTACGAGACAGATAATAAGTGCAGGTAAATATGGGGCTGTCAAGTAAACACAATCTAATGTTAATCGCTTTGCTGCACGCAACTCCCGTCAGTCAATTCGAGTAAAACCAGGTAATGCATATGTATGCACGTGCATATGCCATGAACTGATATTATCAAGGGTAACCAAACAAGAGCTTGTGCATAAATATTAAAACACGACACGACCAAAATGAGGCAATAGAAATAACGAGTAATGTGGGTGGTGAAATGGCGTGACAGTTCCGGCGATTACAGTCCAACCACGATAAACCATATGCACTTGCTAAATAGATGAGAAAGCAAAGCAAAGCAAAATTGTTCAATCAGAAAATCACCTCTCTTGACATGATGACACGACATCTCCAAGTGAGGGATTATCCTGAGGAGTCCTGACCCGGCCTGACCTGCATGGGACTGGCCAGGAATTAACTCCCACAAATCAGATGGAAACCACACGTCCGTCTCTCTACCACCATTCGAGGGCCCAAACTAATTTCTCTCAATAGCTCTGCGCTCTGGAGTTAGCTTATGGCTGGATTTTTATGTAGGTAGACGTGCTGCTGCCTGTAAGCCGAGCTAAACAACACCCACTCACTCCTCACACGCTGCTTTTCTTTCAACTGCTGCGGTGGTCACACACAAACTTCAGCGACGACGACGACGACGATTCACCCAGCACTTCACCTTGCCCCCACAGCAACGTAAACCACAGCAGCAACAAGAACGCCTTCCCTGCTTTCACCCCACTTTCCAATTAGTTGGGAGGATCCTTTGGGAGGAGGATTTCTCCTTTGCATATTCTTGGGCCTTGCGAGTGTAAACAAACCGACAGAGAAATAGCTTGAGAAGAGCTACACAGGTGGACTGCCCTTCCTGACTCGGTCCTCAAGTGCGGCGCAAGTATGGGCAGAAACACCCTGCTGGAGGACCGGATACAGGGGAACCGTGTGGGAGTTGTACTTTAAAGTCCATACAGCTAATGGCAGATTGGGGGTCATTTTAGTATTTTGAACAATTATTTCTAGAGTACGGAGAAGAGAGAGCGAGTGAGGGAAGGGATCTCGGCAGTGTGGCAAACTAGTGAGCGAGAGGGTTTGCCAGTCAACCTACTTTCTCTCCGCTCGCTCCTGACCCAACTTTCTCCTCCATCCAACCGATCCCACAAAACATCAGCACACACACACACACTATTTGGCCCAGCCGACGACTCACTGTCCGATCCCCAGTTCGGATTGTGAAAGAGTGTGCTTTTTACAGGATCTGGGTTGTTCCTTTAGTATACGTACACAAGAAGAGAGAGCTCAGTGCGGCTGGCTCTGCTGCTGGTGTGGTGATCATGCAGCCTCATGGAAGAAGGTTTGGGTCGATCAATTCCCCTCGTCGTCGTCGTCATACCTTGCTTCGTCCATCTGCCCACTACTTCCTCTCTTCTTTTACTCCCCCCACCACTCTCACTCTCACTCTCTCTCTCTCTCTCTCTCTCTATAGGATCAAGGATTCTGCATACAGAGGCAACCTCCGAAACAAATCCGAATTTCTTCCCCGAATCCGTAACCCACATTCGACTCTCTTCGACCAGGCTACGGACTTTCTCCATCATCCTTCTCCTTCACTCTCCTGACACACATTCTCCTAGTCTTTGGCATACTTCCTAGAAGCAACCACCGCTATACGACATAGGGCAGCGGCGGTGTGTATGTATCCCAGACTCTGCTGCTGGGGATGAGGGTCAGCACTGTCAGCAGTGTGTTGCTGTTACTACTACTATTACTACCATGTCCTGGTGTCAGGCACAGACGTATCCTCCTCCACATGCAACCAGCCGCAGTATATGGACCTGAGACTAGTAAGCAAAGCAGAGTGTAATGCACACACAGTTTTGACACAGGCCTTGAGCTCAAATCCTCAACTTGCTTAAGCACTGTCCGATGTGCCAGTAAGTTAAATTCCACCCCAAGTATAACGCCAGACGAGGGGATAGGGTTGCTTTCATCAGGAAGGCGCTTAGAAATAGGAGCGAAAAAAGTAAGGCGAAGGGGAGTTTGGGTCCCTTGTTGTGCTGTGGGAGGAAAGTGGCATGGACGGAGAAAGAGGATCACTTCGTGCAGAGACCTCCCTGCTCTCACAATGACGACGACTATGTGTGTGGTTTGATAATGCTGCGAGATAGGAGCACACATCTGATGAGCATTACCACCCACTCCTTATTTCACCATGAGCCTCCTTCGATTGACCTGATTTCTGAGTTACAACTAACCTCCGTCGTCTCTTTCTCCCCAGCCGCCTCTCTTCCCATTGTATCTCTCTCTCCCACCTTCTAGGCATATACGTAAGGCATATATTCCCAGTCTTCATCATGCAAATTGCTTCACAGTTCCATCCACCAGCACACTATGCACACATATATTATTCATTTAAGGAGCAGACGAGGTTTTCGTCTCAACCATCCCCCTCCTTACATACATCTAAAATACATAACTCACCGCAAAATTAACCATAGCATTTACATAGCATCTCTGGCAGTTATTCATTGATTCGATGGAGATAACTCGCACCTGATTTGATAATGTGAATGAATTATGCTCATGTATGGATGAGACTCGTGCCCATATTGGTTCTGTAAAACTGCATATTTTCATGTTTTTGTCTCATTGAATACGATTTTTAACCCAAGGCCCATTAATATTGGGCTATTGACTGATGTCAGATTTTTTGTACACTTTACGTAAAAAGGCAGCTAGAAAACGTGGGAAGAATTGGCTTGATGTGCGACATTTGAAGGGAGACGTATCATAATGTACAATTTCATTAATTTTATTTTCGAATTTCTAAATGGATAAAGTAATAGTACGTCGAGAATCGAATTAGAAGTGGCATTAAAATTCACTCACCCTGCTGCTGCTCTGAAAGGGAATGGGCTAAGAGGATGAAGGTGGAAGGAGAGGAGCGAGTGAGTCGAACTGGAAATTGGCCGATGGCCACATCAAAGAAAGTTGCTGCTCACTGTGAACACGAGCTATTTTATTAGGGTATCCAAATGCGAGTGCGAGAAACGAACCATAAACTATAGAAAAAGAGGTCAGAAAACGAAACAAGAAAAAGTCATATCTCTCTCTCTCTCCGCCTTTTCACTTAATTTTCAGCTCTCTTTCCCTCTATCCTTCCGTACATGCTGATAAGCGTGTAGTCGCGGATGAGTCGATTTCCCCCGTCCAGCCACAGCTTCAACCACCACCACTTTAACTTCAAAGTCACACCTTCCATTCTTCTAACATGATTATTCCTGCAAATGGACACATGTAGAACCTAATTTGCTATCAATTATGAGACCAAGTTAATGACTAGATCTAGTTTTGCAGATGCCGAGAAGCATTACATACAATAATAAAATTAAAAAGTTACATATGGAGCTTATGGATAATTCAATATTGGTACGAATGTGTCCTCCGCCCACTTCCACTTTTATTTTCAGCTCCTCCGACTACCAGAGACATGTTCATGCAAATGTCGTACTTTCTAATTGGACACTGTATATCTTCTTAATACTTAGAAATAAACTCTGTATTTGTGCACTAACTTAAGTTTTTAGTTCATCCCTTAAGAATACCAGGTGTGTTGGCACAATTAGCCAACATAAATGTCATGCATTGCAGTACACCTTAGACTTAAGACTCGAGAAGATGCATTAAAAATTGTGATAAGTATGGATTATATACATATATTTCATGATAATGACGATATCAGTGAGAGTATACATCACAGACCCACCTAAGCCATAAAAACCTAAAAACAATACCTACCCCTAAGAACAATCTAGGTTTAATGAATTGAGAAGTTATTTTTATTTAGATTTGCACGTATACGAAGCACGAAAGTCTTATTTTGTGTTAAAATTCTTCCAGTGAAACACAATTTTCCGAGGGTGAAAGCAGCCTTCCCTTTCGACTCGTTGTGAAAGTTTTTACAACGTTGTGCCATGCGAATAGAGATGGCAGACCGTGTACTTTCTCCTCCCTCAATTTTGAAGGACTCGGAGGAGACGTCCAGTCTCCATCCGTGATCACCTCCCGTTCTACTAACATATTTCGCATAGATATCTATTCATGACATTCCTCTGAACGTTTGTAGTTGTATTGGATTGGTGAAAGTACTGACCAACTGCAAATGGGATGAATGCAGTACTTGTAGCTTTATAATTCTTTAAGTAACAAGACCGTTTCCTCCCCTTTCAGTGCATATCGTTTTACAAAATGTCTTTTTCATTCTGTAAGCGCATTTTCAAATATACATCAAAATAGTAAGAAATAAATATGAACATCACCAGTTTCCACAACTTACATATGTATCTTTATTATTTCTCAAGATATATTTTTATATTCCAAATTACATACACTGTGAAGAATCCATGAACATGTTAAAAATGTTGAGGAGTTTAATTGCTGATCGACGATTAAAATAATCCCAAATATTTGTGTGTGAACAATTTACATGAATTAAAGAAGCAGTATGTTTGTATGTATATGTATCATACTAAATATGTAGTAGTCTCATATTACATTTCATCAGCAATTAATAATATCAGCATTTTACCCAAATTCAATGCATTTTTGATCTAACAGATAAATCTTCATGATCAAATATATTATTCATTGCATCGACAAATTTGGATGTGCCACATTAAGTTGTAGTAAATTAATATATGCAAATATGGATACGACTGCTGATTCCGTTGCTGGCCAGTCTGGCTGCACATGTAATCATATTATACTATGTGGAAGTTATTGTGAATCGTTGTGAAGCCTTTGTTGCTCTGCTAGTAAAGAAAAATTGTTTCGTTACGAGTAAATTTATTAGTACATATTTATGTTATTTATACTTAGCAAAGTACAGTGTGATAGTAAATAATTATATTTTATGTGCTCGCTACATGGTGAGTTTTGATTTTTCATCATATTTATATCATGAGCTGTCCCTTTTGCCATAGCACCAACACCAGCAAGAATTCTTAGCAAGTAGTGTCACTTTGTAAGAAGTTGCTCTCTCCAAATTTCCCTTATTTTCTCCAGGTACGACTAATGTAGGCACTACAAGCACAAACTTCTAACATTTTATACCTCTGCTGAGAAAAAAATGTTTCTCGTTCAGCGTCGTAATTACGTATTTAAGAGATCGAACTACATAAATTATGTATGGGTACAGATTGGTATGTACATAATCTATGGTTATCTAACTATGCTCTTCTGCTAAGACGTAACAGAACTACTACGTTCATTATTATTTCACTGTTTGAAATCATAGTTTCACATTGACTGTCATAACTTAAAGAGATTTGTATTTACTCGACAGTAATTGAAAACTAGTTACTCTCACTCTCTGTCTCTCACTCTGATTAATATTCTTAGCATAACCAGTATCCTTAATACCAAGAGTTACAATAAGTACACAACTCCTAAGTTTAGTGAGTTTTACATATCTGTAGCATTTACATAAATGGGTTTATATTATTATTCCTATTTGTGTTGCGTGGGTAAAGAATCTTATGAATCGTAATTTCTTTTTGCAGTCAATAATAAATATGTATGTACACGTATGTAAATAAACTATTTATGTTCTACAAACTACTTACAATTTCATGGCATTTAATCTCTGGGGAATTTAAATTATATGTGTTTCATATTATGTGGCTAATAGTACATACACAAGTTCCAACATTTGAGGGAGAAACCACTGCGTGTTGGATGAAGGGAAAAGTTATTTGTTGGCAGATTACATACAATATTAAAGTACAGATAATAACAATTGATGGCTGAAACATAAGAACGGTTTGGAAATACACATTTGTCACGCTGAACTATTGATTGTAAAAATTTTCCGGTATATTTTTACAATTAAATAGTTTGTGTAAAATTGTGGAAATATCTTAGAGAGTAAGCTGGAGAGATACACAGGAAAGCTCTGGAAATCATCAAGACGAATAATTGCGTAATGTTGAATGTGAATTTTGCGAAATATTTGGTAAATTGAATTGGCTGTTGGCAGAAACGAGTAACGGTTTTCACGCTAAAATTTGAGAGGAGACGATTGAAACTGGAGATTTGATTTGTGGGGACGTGTTGTTGAGTCGATAAGTGACAATGGTGGCAAGGAAAAAGCTCAGCGATCGTGACCAGTCCGATTATGGGTCAGGCAGGGCATACACATACATATTTTTGTTAAAGATAAATTTATATGTACGATAGAGTCGTTGGGCTGCGTATACAAAATAGTGCTCTAAAGTCAGTTCTACCAATGGTCAATATACGTAAACTCAAGTAACACGCACTAATTATTGTAACCTCACAAAAATTTAATTTTTGTTCGTTTGTCATCATGGAGCAAATTCCCTTGCAAATTCATTTAATGTGCGCCCCACCAGACTATGTAACGCAAATGGAGAATCAATATCTTGCTTGCCCAATCATCAAAAAATAATTGTTTTGCTCATAACAAATTTAAATTGTACATGAATGATACATGTGTAAATACATGAAATAATACAGAAAGTAATGTAGCAATACCATTTTCATTTGCAAAAAATATTTGGAGACGCTCCGAAACATTTGTATCCAAATTCAGTTCTTTTGACAAAGAACGGAAACGAAATTCACGTAATTAACATTTCCATCTTCATCTAAATCTGTTTCTTTAAGCATATCTTCAACTTCTTCATCAGAAAGTTTCTCTCCCAAGCTGGTCATCACGTGACGAAGTTCAGACCCTGAGATTAGCCCATCATTGTTTTTATCAAAGACCCTGAAAAATACAAGTTTGCTTTTATTATTTTTTGAGTCATGTCATTACGTCTACTAAACGCAACGACACATATTACATACCAATGCAACGACAAGTGTAAAAATGGTGGAAAATTACGAACAAAATTTCAGAAACAATCTGGACGAAAATTTAATAAAGTCGCCTAGCTAAATACATTTTTAAAAATGTCTTTAAAATTGACCAGCAAAAATTGACCGTTAAATGAATGGAGTCAAATCAGATTATTGCATGAGAAACTTAGTTTTTAACTTTCCACTGTGCTTTCTTAATTGGCAGTCGCATTGTACCGCTGTTGAATCGAAATATCGATGCATAAATTAGCTGCAGCACAGGTGACGGTTAGGCATTACTTACAATTCTCTTGTTTCAGTTAATAGTGAATATATCTTCATAGATATGCAGTAATAGACATGCATAATGAGCTGTCATTTTATGACAGAAACGTTGTCATATTTGACCCAACCCCTGGCATATAATATGCTAAATGGAATATGCCGCATATTCTATTGTTTGGTCGGCTACATTATTTGGTTTATATAGTACTGAAATCAGAGCTCAAACACATTTGTACACGCCGAGAGAAAGAGAGAGAAAATAGAAATTATTATGGATACGTTTGAGACAATTAATCACGTCAGTGTGTCCATTTACGACATTAAAATTGCATGCGTGCGGTGCAAATGCTGCTCAGTTTTCCCTGCTGATCCCAACTCTCTGCAGAACTCGAAATTGGGAACTTAATAAACTGATTTAATTTAATAAACAACCGGCCAACATTCATGGAAAGGAAACTGTTTTGTTATTCAGCAGCAGAGAAAGTTTGGAAATTCAAAATATCTCGCAAACGGAACAAGAATAATTTTTTGCGATTTGTATCTGCTCTAAAATTTAATGGTTCATTTCCATCAGATTTTACTTATGCAAAGTTTTATCAATCGGACCAAGTTTACTAAACATAGTACTAAACAGGCACAGGATGCTCTTGAAATTATAGTAAAAACTTGGTGTGATTAGTTAAAGAAATTCATTTTATGCAGGTAAAAGTGTCAGTCAGTACTATAGTCATCAAAATTGTGGTCACGGTCATCATTTCCAAATTTTTAACTTACTTGAATGCTTCAATTAATTCCCCTTCGCTTTCTGCATCCTTCATCTTTTTGGACATTAAAATTAAGAATTCATTAAATTCAATGCTGCCATTACGGTCCTGATCACCTAGAAATTAAAAAAACACAGATTTTGCAGGGGCCATCAGAAGGACGCCTTTTATGCAGTTACAACTTACATTCATCCATGATCGCCTGCAGTTCAGTTTCTGAAAACAAGATACATTCATGTAGACATCGCACATTTACGTCACAGTTTGTTGATGCCCTTTAAAAATTTTCATCTTATCATGAAATAATGTGCACGTATTTGGTAGAGCTAACTACACACAGCTCAAATTTTAAGTCCTGTAAGCAAACATAATTAATAATGCAGATTATTCCAAGTTAATTGATTTTGCGTGTTTCATGGAAATGGAAGTGTCTTTATCAAAAATTCTGACTAGTTACGGTGTCATTTATGTTGGACGGTGTATAATCGTGTGTAACATTTTGGTATTACGTCTGTCAAATCATGTCCTTCTATTTAAAAGCTTCAGTGTGCTGAATCACGTTATGCCAAACAAATAAATAATTTACAGAGTAGCATTTAACAATTGGTACACTGATCACGAATCTGCTCATTAATAAACTGCCACACTTGTGCATTCGTGTATGTCACATGCAACTGAGGGTTATTACAGTGAAAGTACGCGAATATTGACTTAAGATACAAGATAATTTAAAGGGTTGTAGTATAACCGTGCCGTTTCAAGAGTGGTTTTTTTAATGTAACGAGCTAAATGGGAGGCTTGTGAGTCGAGTTATTTACCCGTCCTTCCCCCGCGCTGCCCTCATAGCCCTGGGGTCTTCGCACCAAGCCTCCAATTTTTAGGGTCGAGGGTTCGAACCCCAGTCGGGGCATTTATGTCCGTTTGCATTTTTCTTGATTTTTTAGACGGTTTTTTTAGTACGGGTTTCATAACTTTGACCTATGATGACCTGGTGACTATGTGCACCGAAGCCGAATTATCCTATTATTTTACACCAGTTCATTTTATTTTAGCGTTCAAATTATTAAATTTGGATAGTTGAATGATTTTCACGCCAAACTAAAATAAAGTAGTGATAAATAATAGGATAACTCGGATGACTCGGCTAACGTAAGTGAAGTAAATTAGCCGAATCATCCGAATTATCCTATTATTTATCACTACTTTATTTTAGTTTGGCGTGAAAATCATTGAATTACCCAAATTTAATAATTTGAACGCTAAAATAAAATGAACTGGTGAAAAATGACAGGATAATTCGGCTTCGGTGCACAAAGTCACTAGGTCATCATTGGTCAAAGTTACGAAACCCGCACTAAAAAAACGGTCTAAAAAATCAAGAAAAATGCAAACGAAGATAAATGTCCCGACTGGGGTTCGAACCTACGACCCCAAAAATTGGAGGCTTGGCGCGAAGACCACTTGGCTATAATGGCAGCGTGGGAGGAGGACGGATAAATAACTCGACTCACAAGCCTCCCATTTAGCTCGTTACATTAAAAAAACCACTCTTGAAACGGCACGGTAATAAGTACGTACTGGTTAATATCAGGTGGCAAAAATGTTAACACTGGCTATTGAAACTTGAAAGCGAGAGTATGCATTTACTTACATATGTATTTATAGTTAGATAAATTATAATAGAATGGTTATAAATTCTCTAATTAACCTCTAATTAACATGTATGCAACTAATAATCGTGCAGATGTAATAATCCTATAATCATTTAACCTTTACTGATAATTTAAAGGATATGCATTGCAAATTATTTATTTGAATATATTTTAATACATTCCCTTCATGGAATTTATTTCAAAGATTACATATGGGTCGATACTTTTATCAACCGTATAAATTTATTACCTGATGGTCTTTGACCCAGCGCTCGCATAACAATTGCCAACTCGGATAGCGAAATTGTTCCGTCTTCGTCCTTATCAAAAAGCATGAAGGCTTCTTTGTATTCTGAAAGGAGGTTGAAAATAAATTCTCAAATTCTTCCCGTTAAAGAGACGTGATCAAGAAGCACAGTCAGTTCGACCCTGAACTCTCTCTCTCTCAAACTGGAAGTGGCATGTGTCCCCTTTAAATTACCTTTATGGGCGATTAACCACATTAAACCCCAATCTGGACTGGTGACCAGTAGAAAACTTCAATTACACAGCTCACTGGAGAAATCGAAGTTTACGTCCAATCTTTCACAATAACAGAAGCAGCTCTGGTTGGGGAAAGTCATTCTCTAATCTCATCAACGCTGCTTATGCATTCCTCTGTATATCAGAGGTTGAGGAGGGCACCCGAAGAACAAGCGTTAAATTTTTACAGCATTCATAAAGCTGGATTAGAACTTGTCTCTCCCACGACACATCTGTGTATTGTATATTGCATCGTGTCAAGAAGCTCCTTTTGGACATTTAATTAATGAAATCTTTCAACTTGTAATAGTTCCCATTAAAATTTGAGCCAATAAATACAAAAGTCTACAAACAAAGTAAGATAATAAACCTCGGAACAACAAAACTCACTACACTTGCGTATATTTAATAAAAGAAAGTCTATAAAATTAACTACTGCGCCCATTATTTACAGTTTTATACACATACATAAATAGTTGGGCCTATAGACGTTCCTAGAGCACAGTAAACAACTCTTACATGTCAGGACCACAAAAGTCGAGATAATATGGAAGTCTAAGCACAACTGCCCAAATAGGAAATCTTTTGAGGCAGCAACAATGAGAAAATTGTGGCAAATGTAACTCTTCCTCTTTCTTCGGGACATTTTCTAGGATGAAATGATCATTGTGAAACATAATAAGGCTTGGACAAATTGAGCCAAAGCAACAAATGAGGGGATTATGTCTCATAAAGCCATTAGTAATATGGGGCAGCGTGGTTGGGTATTCAATATCTCACAAGTTTATGTCATTATGGCCAGAGATGCATGCACTCCTGCCGTCGTCTTTTAATGCAGTAAGGAAAACTAAGAACATTTTTACTTTCTGTAATGCGCAATAATATAATTGATGCCGACATAACGGTCACATGAAAAAAATGTTTCAAAAGTATGAAAGCCCCTTCCTTGACGTACAATGTTCCAAAATTGTGACTTGAACATTTCCTGTGACTTTTTCTTCTGTTCTCCATCAACATCACTTTTGCAGAAGTGAGTTCAGTTGGCCATGGCCAAACGGAAGTTGCGGAGAACTCGACTATATCAAGATATGGCACATACACACATTATTTCATACTTTTTATTATTTTTCCCCAAACTTTAAAAAAATAAGTATATCGGCTCCAAGCAACTTTCCTAGGCCAACCACGGAATTGAAACTCAATTGACCCCCTGTCCTCACATTTTCTACTTTATGAAACTTTACTTTCACCATGTGAAGTTTTCAAGTAGGCAAGTACTTACTTGTTAGTTAGTTGTAAGCTACATTAGCTAAAGTTCTACTGACTTCTCTTTGCATTCATGTTGGTTGGAATTCAACCATTGAAAAATATTAAATGTTATTTTATGTCCCTGATAAACTTTTTCGGTCATTTTTCTCCCAGTCTCATTTGTCATGCATAATAAATGTATTTGGTGAATTTTCTTGTACGATAGCTTAAGCATGGTAATTTATGCATTCGAAATGGGTAAAATAATGAGCCTGATATTTATGTAGTAGATATTTTGCTTTGCACAAATGTTCTAGATTTCCAGCTGTGATTTGCTTGAAATATTTCCGATTGTAGAACCGCCCTTCTTCTTCCCAAGACTTTCTACTCCAGTTGGAAACCCTAATCGACTACGGTACTCATAGTGCGAGGGCGGAGACAACATGTACGTATCTTAATGGACACTGAACACGAAATTTCCCCATTTGTCATCTCTTTAAAAATTACTGATTGAACAGGTATGCGTTCCAACAGATTGAGCTGAGATTAGGTCGACTGCTCTATTGATTTCTGATAATGTACAGCATTTATCTATGTACATATGTACATGTATCTGGCATTGAATCAGCTATAATTGTGTGTATGTGTGTGGAATAATTAGTGACAGGAAATTGCTTACCGTCAACTTGTTCGTTATTAAGTCCAAAGTCCGTCTGAAAAACAAAGCATCAAGGAAAGTCAAAAATCTGTATTCAAACATCGAAATCCAGGTAACTAACGAAATGGTCAGCTATGTATCGTATGGGTCAAATTTCAGAGGTAAATCGTGACCCAGCATTCACAAATTATGAAAGTTGGAATAATAAAAATGCTCCAAGGCCTTGGACGATGACGAATGAAGAGAAAATGGCTTAATGGTCGTTGGAAATTATATCAGGAAAGAAATAAGACATTCTCTTCTATCTCGAACAAACTCTTGCGGACAAAAGTCTGTCGTCTGTCACATCCGCATAAAAATATCCTCTCCCATTATATTTTGGTCCGGTAGCTACATAACTGTCCTCCCAGTCCGCCTAGTCAGACAGACATGAAAGAATCCCACCATTCATTCATCTTGAGTTCTGTTTCAGAAATCCAGGGATTGACTTGACCACAGCAACGACTCGCCTGATTCAACTCCGAAGCGGCAAGTGAACAGAGATAATAAAGAATTGGGTATCGATTAGTAGTTCTCATCCTTGTGCCATCACAGTATAACGCGATAAATAAAGGAGTAGCCAACTGGAGTGTACATACGTATGGACATACGTATGCTGAGCTCTATCTTTCCGGGTATAGGCCAAATAGGGAAGCAGATGGGTAGTGGATCATCCCATCGTCCGAGATCTGAGCTGGAGAAAGCAGGGGCTGCTGAAAGAGGTGGATATTCGAGAGTGAAGTGGACACTCCTGTCATTTATGCATGAAGAAGTAAATAGTAGAGATGGGAAAACAAACCCGGAATAAATGTGAAACACGGTGGAGAGAGGTACATGTGCATATAACATTCCGAGAGTAAAACCAGTCAGGCAGGGGAAAATTATTGTGTCGTATATATTACTTCTCTTTTTCAATTCTATTTCCCATTTCTCAGGAATAAAATGCCCCTGCAAACCGCGGATCCTTCGTAAAAGAAGAAGAACCTTTTTCGCTCAGCAGCTACATATCTGCGAGTTGTCGCAACTTCGATCGCTCACAATATAGCTTTAACCTCTTTCCTGAATCTTTATGAGATTTGGGCAAAAACAGAGTTTGGTGGATCGTAGTGGATAGTGTGGTGCTGGTGGGTGATGGTTATTGCAAAGGCCGTCATAAATTATATTTCCTTTTAGAATACCACTGACACCCACCCGACCAACTAGCCAGCCACCACCATGCCAGCAGCAGAGTTCGTGATCGCGGATTCAAAATAAAATCCATGGAGGTGGTCTAACTGCTTCTGAAAAGTTTCGATGGTTCGAGTGATAACTCTTCCCAACAATCTCCACACACACCTTAACTCGAGGAGAATATGCAATTTCCAAATGCAAAATTATTCCAATTCATTACTTTCTTATCTTTTGGAGAGATGCTCAATCTTCTATGTGTGCAGGCATGCAGAACAGTTGGTATACATACGTACATCCATGGTGCACATTTTATTGGAAATTCGTGTGAAGATAGCAAATCTGAATGCATGCATACATATTTACCCAGTACCGACCACGGTCTGGTAGGGTGTTTGGTGAAAGTGATTTTAATGAGCCAAGTTTGCATGGGAGGAAAGATAGGAATATTATGAGACTTTCTCTGAAAAGGGAAACACCTCGAATGCAGAGGAGAGGAGAGCATTAATGTGGAATCTATGGCTCACGTGGGAGAAGAAGCAGCAGGAGCTACATATACTTACCGATATGTATTGGGATTATGATTATGCATGTATATTGGGAAGAAGAAAAGATGAATGGCAATCTTGGTGATCTCCTACATATTACATCACGGGTGGGATATTTGGACAAAAAAATCAGCTTCTTCTTGAGCGAGCTTTGCATAGGACGATATTGCTAATTTATCTTCGTTCGGCTGTCTTTATTGCCCCACGGCAGCATTCAAGATGTCATATCGCGATAAAATAAATTTTCTACATCCTCCATTTCTCACTTTCATTTGGAGGTGAAAGCTAATCCTTCTTAACAAAGTTAAGTCTTTCCTCCTCGTTGGGTGATATCACGTGTTTGCTGTTGGGATACGGGGTGGTGGCTGGAGAAAGTTTTCTGCCGCCTTCTGGGACAGGAATTTGGGAGTGCTCTGTACACTGCCCGTTGCGAAATAAATCTAAAACTCTGGCCGTCGTCGTCTCGGAGAGAATTTCATTAAATACATGCCGATGATTATGAATGCTACATAAGACACAGACAGGAGGAGATTAGAGCTTCCTTTCTCCTCTTCATATTTCAAATGTTAATCCACTACGGTTGACGACATTAATCGGATCAACTCTCAATCATTGATTTCTATTTCAATTGCAAAAACAAGATCCTACTGCGAGTATTTTAGACGCCTTTTCTTCTACGATAACGCTGCCCAAAGTTTTTACTTGGTTTCTAGTGTCCACTGAATTAATTTTGAGATGAGTCTGCAGTAGTTGACAAGAAAACTGTCACTTAAAATTTATGAAAATGGAAAAATGCAATAAAAAATGTCCTGTAGACTTGTCCTGCAGAAGCTTATGTACTATTGTGGGCCTCAGCCAAGACGATATTGTTATTATGGTTTTGCTGCATTGCTCACAAGTACATACTTGTACTTGCGACATCATTTTTTGGCTTATAGCTGCATACATCAAGGATGTTTCTGTCTGTATTTGATTTTAATAATGGACACAGACCACTGGTCACTGGAATAAAACGGCTTTAACTTAATCAATTTAATTGAAAGGACAGACTGTCTGCTGACGCATGTAAGTAAATATGCAGGAATTCGAAATAGTGTCACATCAAAATAAGTTCAAAACTGTCGCTGTTGAATATTAATTGGTGCAGAAAAATATGAAAAGGACGCACTAAAATTTTGATTGGTACAAACAAGTGATAGACAAATGAAATTCTTACCAGATTAATTGTTACTGCGAGGTCGTAAGTCTGTTTTTGGCCCTTTTTCGTCTTTTTCCCATTCTTGTTGTTGGGCGCATTTTTGGGCGCCTGTTTGACTTGACCCTTTTGCGCAGAGGGTGGCTTCCCACTCGTCTTCTGGCCATTTTTACCCTGTCCGTGACCATTTTTAACACTGAGTGTTGGTGTTTTAGGTCCAGATGACCCTTTCTGGCCCTCTGGCTTCGTACGTGCCTGCTTACAAATTACAACAGATAAGATTAGACATCAGATTGGACCAAATACGCGGAGGGAATGGACACAGAGAACGTCAAAAGCAAGCGGAAGGAATGATAGCCATCCACAAAAATGTACTGATTTGGTTTTTATCGCCCTCTCTTCTCCTCCGCCTCTTCCTTACCGCGTTTCCTTCTCTGGATCCCTGTATTTGGAACGAACAACAATTCAGCTCACACTGTTTACTTCCGTCTAGGGTTACGGCAAAAGCTCAAGCACTTTTTTTGGGGTTTTCATCCATTCCGATTATCGTACGGTGGCGCAAAGACGCCGCCGATGAAATATTAAAAATTGGGAAAAACTACAACAAGCTTTACAACCAAACCGACCCACGGACGGTACATTTTCTCAGACTCGAATAAATAACAAAGACTCATGCCGCATCCGTTTGTTGGTTGCAGGATTAATGTGTGAGTGAAAGGGATGGCTTTCACTTGAAGGAGAGCTCGAATCATAAATCTCTGTTTTGCTCGGAAATCTACACACAAAGTCTCTTTTGCTGCCAAGTTATGGTTTCCGAATGGCAGCGACAAGGACGAGAAGACTACATTTTTATGTTTTTGTTCTCCCAATGACACGAGTCCAAAATTTAAAGAGCTCAAGAGGACTTGAGCAGAAAATTCTCGTATTTCCAGCCGTACTTTATTAGAGTTGAAAAATAAAAATACTACTAACAAACGAACCAAAGATCGTAAAACTTGATCCATAAACTTTTATAATTCAATTTCATCAAATCGCGAGGAATGAAAAATTTTATATTTTATTATCCAATAAACAAAATAAATCTTGCATTTGCAACAAAAGGTGGCCTATATTTTGGAAGGAGGTGAACCCCCTCTCATTTATAAGCAGAATAAACTCTTGAAATAAGTCATGCATTAATTCTGACACCTTAATCTTCCTGTCAGGATGACTTATTGCCCTTGTGAATGTAAGAGGACATAATAACGATAATCAAGAAGAATTCTCTCCAAACTCAACTCATGCTCTTGCTTTGAGCTGTTGCTCTGCGTGCTTCGGTGCTTCCTGAGACATCATCATCATCATCTCCATAAATGCATTTAAGTTCAAAATGTGCCTGCGACATACATTTGCATGGATGGATAGAAACGAGTCGTTATGAAGGCAGAGAGGAAAACTGGGCAATGCTGACAGAGGCATGAATTCAGGTGACTCAAGCCGGAGATTTTAATGGCTGATGGGCAAAAAGAGTCACTCAAAGACACTCAAGTTTAGAGATTGTGAGAACGTGGAGTCTAAAATCCTGGGCAGATTCCTTGGCAAGTTATTTTGCATACAAAGGAGGAAATGCGACCTTCTGCCAAAAATGTATTCTGACTGGGCCAGCTAGGCTGCCTGCCTGTGTCTGTCTACTACCTTCGTCAGATCACTTCCTTCCTCCCTCGAATCGACTCTCGAATCACAGCCATGGCAATTCTTTCCACCACACACTCAGGACAACCAGCTTCCTCGTGAAAGGAGTGTAGTTGGTCGTGGTAGCAGCATGTGTGCCAAATGCGAGGAGTGTTGGACCATGGGAGACTCCTTGGGAGGGGGAGATGAGGAACGAGTGGTGGAGAAAGCACGAGCGCAAACAGAGATGAATAGGGACACCTCAGTAGGACACGTAGAGAAGCAAAAACTCCTTCAGAATTCTGATGCTGCCCGAAATAGAGTTTACTTGGTAGTCCAAGTCGAACGCTGAGTCGACATTGGCAATGGAGAATTGTACAAAAAGCCAGAGTTTGTAAGAAGTATGGAAAGTAAGAGAAAGCAAACTATTGGGAAGCAATAAAGTTTTTATGAATTGCAACGTGTTCGCCCCTACGACTGGAAACCAAGAAGCAGGAAAGAATTTCTCCAAAATGTCTGCATCGTTATGTCCACAAAGGAAAGGGTTTCAGAAAGAAGCCTGCACTTTCATATCTCTAATGAAATAACGCAGCTTTATGAATTTTCGCAGCTGAATTGTCAATTGAAGAAATGACTACGGACTGAGCGATAATATTGAATTAGTCGCTTTATGTCTTCACACAGAGAAACTGTGGACCGTATTATGCGTGAGATTTACTACGAAATATCTTGTATTTCAGTCACACCCGCAAATCCCGTTTGATCTGCTGATCTGAAATAAAAGGGCTCTAGTTTATACTTCCAGCTGGGATTTATGTCCGCCCGTCCGTCCATCCACCTGCCTATTTAGCTATATATTTATGTACATCTTTTGCTTAACTCAACAATTTTGACTCAGCCTGATGTGAAAGGGTAAAAGTAATTAAATGGTAAAGTTAGAAAATGACCTCAAACAAATTCGTTGGTAAAACTTTCAAAATTTATTTGAAAACTTTAGGAAATTGGAAAATTCTTTGGCCTTTACCGAAAATGTACTTTATGTATTTAGTTATATTCCTACATACATCTGCGGTGAACATTTATCTACCCACGTTATGTACATATTTACTTATGTACTAGATACATACGTACATATTGCTGGATAATATTTTGGAATTTTGACTTTTACTGTATTATCCACGTTATCTAGATACGCTGGTGCAAGCATTTTTTTAAATAACACATTTTCATAAACGTTATAGAACATTTGATCATCACTGAACGTGCTGATAAGACTTTTCAAAAGTAGTGAAAATATAAAGGAAATTTATGAAAATATAGATTCTTTAATTAATAAATGCTACGAAATTTTTTCCCCCTTTAAAGTGAGGCTAAAACTGATTCAATGACGTTGAAAAATGTGCTCATTATCACACTATTGATCAAAATACCTAATTCTAAGCCCCATCTTGAACGTTCCAAGGAAAGGGAAAGTCTAATAATCAAAGAATATATCGTGTGCCATATGTATCTACGTCTCGTCTGGAAGCACAGACATATTTTATCGAGACTCACTTTATTCTGGACTGGTATCAGATCGGTCGTATTTCTATATAAATTTTCTAAATTCCGCCCAACCAACTCAATTTTCTGATTGAAAAAATATTAGAATGACAGGTTTACTGCATGCTCTAAACTAAATATTCTGCCTCTCATTTTCGTGTGCTTTCTTGCACAGATATTTGCACACTACTCCATCAGTACTTAAGCCAATATGTACTCGTATGAGTATTATGGTCCTTCAACCGTAAGAGCTTTCGATCGATCTATTTTCAAAATCAGAACACAGTCTCTGCAATTAACAGCGCAATAAATATGTACAAACATATGCATGCTATACATATAAGTGATTCAGTCCTGTTTTTCCCAGGGAATAGCAATTAGACTTTAATGAATCCCAAATTGCCTGCTACATCGAAATAAAAATTATGGACAAAGATGTAAATATTTAAAAATCCTGCATATTTATGTCAAAAATTCCCTGTGGATTAATTGACGAAGTGACTGTTTGTGCAGCGGCATAATAAATAATTCAATCCCGTACTATGAAATTGCTCAAGTACTTATGCAGTTAGTACTAATTTTAAGTTTTATGTATTTATCTATGAGACTCGACTGAAGGAATTTTATGAAGCTGTAACCAATGCATGCAAACTTTTTCATACTGTTTTCTATTCGTGTTCCAAATTATATTATCTCCTCTCAGTCGTACGTACCTAGTTGTCTCGTAATTTATTGCGTTTAGAACTTGTTAGTTGCTAGTGCTGGTAGAACGGGAGCAACGCATGTCATTAAGTAAATGCTGCTAACCCAACCACGCCAATGTCTTTTGAAATGCTTGCCTGATCTTGCTGAGAAATATAGTGGCATGGATTTCTGCAGCACAATAGATAGCAAGTTAAATAGTGGAATTGCTGTTGTAATTACGAGTGTAACTGTCTCCTAAATTAGCTCCGAACTCTAACACCATTGTCAGAGATCCTTACTCGAATCTAGCTCAGCCGTCCAGCCGCAGCCTCCCAGCACAAAACAGTGAAGGCGAAAACTTCATCAGATAAAATTGTGTCACAAAACTCCTCCAACGTGCGTAGTAAAAGCTACAGCATTCATATTTTACTCGCCCTTCTATCGCCAATCTCCAATTGACACTATTCAAACGCATGGAAAGTGGGCTCATTGTTTTTCTTAGTGATGAAGAAGAAGTAGATATTTCATTTTTCATTTTTCTACTGAGGACATTATTGTGATGAGTAATTTGACCACTTGTAAAATAGTGCAGTCCTTTGCACTACTAAATGAATAAAATATGTCATCGCAATAAATCTGGCACCTAGAAAAAAACCTGGTGGAAGTGTTTAAAATATATGTTAAGTGTTCCGACAGAAACCACGGCAGGTCGCAGGGGATTCATTCTAAAAGTTTTATGATTTCGGAGAAAAGCGAAAAGTACGGTCACAGCTTGTGATGAAAAATAGAGAGAAAGCAAAAGTGAGAGCGTACGCATTACGTCCCGTTCTCATTTCAGTCACATCAGAAGTGGTCCCATTTTCTGTGCGGAGGGCATAATCATTAATTAATCACGTAGCCACCCCCTGAGTAGACTGCTTCAAATTGAGCCTGGCTTATTATGCGCATTCCTTACATCTTTCTACACTGGTTTCTAATAATTCTAATTGCAAAGTGGGCGAATAATTTTCTTGAAAATTTTCTGGAATTTTAGGAACTGAAAGTATTAATAACGTGTATGACGCCATTAGCAAGTTATTATCAGAAGGATGAAATTGGAAGCTAAACTATTAGAAAAGACATATAGTTTGCAGTAAAATTTGGAAATGCCTTTAATATTATATGGGATAATAAAAGTTGATTATTTCCTAGCAGTATTTTTCCCACATGTGTATTGCTTGGTTTGATATAATATAAAAATCTCCGAGTCAAGCACATCTATTCAAGAAGCAAATCGTAGTAGTTTCATGAAATATCTGAGTTCCTGACATCTATTTATCATAGAAAGTTATTAAAGTTACATAATTTACCCCACTTGGTTCTTGTATAGGAATAAGATAGTACGAATATGCTGCATATCTAGGGCTCAAAATTTTTGTCTCATCCAAAGCATTGAAATGACTAAATATGCATCTCTCCCATGTAACCGTCGACATTCCTCTGCTCACAGGATTGCATTTCCTGCCACCAAGTGATTTGGGCGTTTTTAGCGTACGAAATATTAGATATTATACAACACAGAATGTA